GATTTGAATTTCAATACATATTTAAAATAATTTAAAATTCTTTTGTTTGAATATGATATTTGGGGGTTAGAATTTCAGTTAAAAATTCCAATTAAATTCCCCACTAATCAATCCAAATCTAGAATTAGAAATAAAAATAATTATTGAACAAACAAGCTAAGTTAAAAAGGTACATAAATTAAGCCAACGGGGTCTAGCCAAGTCGAAAAAGGTATTGATTTGTAGATCAGAGGTCTCAAATTCGAACCCCCATGGCATGAGTTGTGTGTGTGTGAGAAACCCCCTCCCTTCTAGTTTAGACTATCGTTTGTACTAAAAAAATATACATAAATTAACAATTACAATTTTCCTTCCATTTTCCCGTTGTTCCTTAGCAACCAAACATGACCAAAAGTTCACGAAATGAAAAATCAAACAAAATGTATATCCATGTGCACATAAAACAAACCAAATAGAGAGAGAAAAAGTGAGGAGATAGAAACAAAGGAGAGGGAGAGAGAACACATATGAGAGATGATGAGAGAATTGAAAAGGAGGAGAGAGAGAGACATACGATGGAATAATTTTGGGTTAGTGACAAAAGACCACCTAAAGGTTTGGGGTCATTCTCAATATGAGCCCCAGGGTTTTAATTTCATTAATTTACACTCCAATATACATTGAATGGTACAGGGTTTCTTTATAGAACTATGTCTAGGAATGGGTATTTAACTAATTTTGTATATTTTTAAACCTAACCAATTTAAGCCTTCCGTTAAGTTGACTGTGTGGACAGCCATTAACTGCAAACGTGGCCATTGTAGGACCCACCCATGAACTGACTAGCCAACTCCATTTAATATAAAAAAATTTAAATCCATAATATAAAATGATTAAAAAAAACATTAATATTATTGATTTTAAAAAAATATTAAGGGGAGTTGGCCAGTTAGTTCATGGGTGGGTTCAACAATGGCCACGTCAGCAGTTAACGGTTGACCACACGGTCAACTTAACGGAAGTCTTAAATTGGTTAGGTTTAAAAATATACAAAATTAGTTAAATACCCATTTCTAGACATAGTTCTATAAAGAAACCCTGTACCATTCAATGTATATAAACACACCCAAAATAAACCCAAAAATTAACAGCTATTGATTTCTTAAATTCAAAAGCTATGTTTGATTACTGTTTTGCCCTTTTTCTTTGTCTATTAATCAACTCAATCTTCATCAACGAGCATCTCAAACTTTCTTCTATTTCAACAATGGCGAGGTTCATCGAGCTCTGCTTCTAGCTTTTCTCCTATTCCAATTCTCCATTGTATCTTCGTCGTCTCCACCATAGCCCTCACCAACTCCATCACCGCAACCCGCCGCCGATTCACCTTCGCCCAAAATTCCATCTTCGATTTCCCTTCCTCCATCTCCATCGGACGCTCTAGTTAACGCACCACCTCCTTCTTCACCTCTGGCGCCACCGCAATCATCTTCGTCTTAATCTTTGTCGACTGACAACACGCCTCCAATTCCTTCTCTAGCATCGTCGAATTCGAGCGATGTCAACCACAGCAATCTCGAACGGTGACAGAGCTAAAAACTCCTCTGGAGGAATGAGCCCGACAAAGAAGACAGAGATCGTTGGATAACATTCGTCGATCTCGAACGGAGATGGAGCTAAGAACTTCTCTTATTACTGTTCTTGGATTTAGATTCTCAGTGATCTAGGTTATTTGTGGAGAAGTGGCCGCAGCTTTTTCCTAAAGTTACTGAAGAGGTATATCCCAACATGATGTGCTCTTTCTTGAACAGATAGTGTAATATGATTTGGGGTTCAGTAATGTTGTTTGTTTGGTATATAATGATAAACTAAACCATCTTGTTTAACTATTTTTTTGCTGATTTATGACTTCAAACCTTCTTATATGCATATGATTAACATTGAATGGAAGCCTTTGTAGATATAGTTTATTTCAACAACTAAACTTATAATGGACTCCGTTATGATCTCTTGTTTTTAGCTTTATGAGGTTGATATGCATTTGGAAGAACTCTGAGAAATGGTTGTTCAGAAGTGAAGGTTGTTCAGTAACATTGTATCTTAGTTTAATATGTTTTACATCTACCTGTTGATGCAATGAAATAAAAAATTTTTTGTAAAATTTGTATTATTGATGTGTGTATGCATGCTATGGCAATGTGTGAGTGCATGTGGATAGAAAGAGAAACTTTGTGTGTTTTTGTGCGTGAACAGAGTTGAATATGAATGCTTCTCCAGCAACCATATCTTATCTTGAGAACATTGTTTCAGAAAAATGTCGCCTGAAGAGAAGAGAAAACTTGGGGTAGCCCTTACCAGATTGTCGCATGATGATCTCAACAAGGCATTAGATATTGTTGCACAAAATAATCCAGGTTTCTAGGCTACTACTGATGAGGTGGACCTTGACATTGATGCTCAGGTAATCATTTTCATTATTGATCAATTGGGATTGATACACACCAATGCCAGGTAATCATTTACATTATGCACAAAACAGTGTTTAGTGTTGACTTAGTTTTGATGTTTGGTACTGTTTGGATTCTTTATCGTACCTATTATGCAAATGAAATGATGTATTTGTTAACTTCCAGTAAGTGATATGAACAGTTGTTAACTTCTAGTAAGTGGTATGAACAGTTGTTATATTGTTCATACCCTGCAACTGAGTCGACTTCTATGACATAATATTAATAGTGTACTTCTATGACATAGTATTAACGGATTTTCAGTAACAAAGCATGCTCTATATTTTGCTCTATATATAGTTGTGCACTTGAAGTTTATGATATGCATAATGTGATTTTTACTAGGAAGATAGTTCTATGACATAGTATTAACAATGTATTTTTTTCTTCTTCTTGTAGAGGTATTTCCTTATGCCTTTGCGATTGGTTTTAGTGAAACTGTGGACAATTGGATGTGGTTTCTGCAAAGCATATCAAATGTCTTGCTAGGCTTTTTTGGGGTTTTTGTTGTTGAGTTTCTTGTATGAAATAGTATTAACAATGTACTTCTACGACATGGTATTAACAATATACTTCTATGATATGATATTAACAATGTACTTCGGGCTTGCTAGGCTTATTTTGGGTTTTCTTTTGAGGTTTTTGTATTGGGCTTGTTTTAAGTTTATCAATGACAGTCATGTAATTTATAAGAACTTCAACACTCATTTTTTATGTAGTAAATGGATATTGGGTGTGTTTCTAAAGTACATTTCATGTGGATTTTTTTTATTTTTTTTATATATTTAAGCTCCTATTTTGGGTATATTAGTAAACCTCCCTTAAAAATATTGGGGTGTAAATTGATGAAATTGAAACCCTATGGTCCATATTGAGAATGATCCCAAATGTTCAGGGGATCTTTTGTCGTTAACCCAATAATTTTTGTATAAGACATATAGAAATATTTTATTTTTATTTAAAAAAACTAGTGTAGTAAGTTGGAGAGATCTAAACCACATATCCTCAAGTATATTGAATGGTACACCAGCTCGGAATAAGATGGGAGAGAAAAGGATGAGAGAGAGGTGCATCCCACTTGTAAAATCCACTCAAATTCCTAGTTCTAGAAATCATTCACATTCGGCGTATCAAATTTGAAGTGGAATATTTGAGCCACATTTAGATTCGTTTACTAAAAATAGACCCAAACAATATGATTTGAATTTGGACCTCTCAAATCTAATCCCTTAAAACTTAAGGCCTCATTTGGTGGTCCAGCTAATTAAATTGGAGTTGAGTTCAATCGAGTCCTATCCTTTTAGGTGGGGTGAGACTGTTCTCCAATTTAATAAGTCCAGTCACATCGCACTAAACAACGATTGTGATAGGCAATCATCAACAAGGTGCCCAATTCGTTATATTAATGAGTTATTTACACTAACACCTCCTCAGGTTTTCAACATTTTCACAAAACCCCCTTGAGGTTTTGGAAATTACACGAGCACCCCCTGAGGTTTTAAATTGTTTTCACAAAACTCATTTTCGTTGATTTTTCATTCAAAATCGATGATTTTATATATATAAAAAATTCTCCAAATGACAAAGTTAGCCTTTGACATTAGATTGCTCATGCATTCATTGAGGTTGATTTTGTCATTTGCATATGCTTTTTAAGATGAAATCATCAAGTTTTCGACGAACAATCAACAAGAAGGGATTTTTGAAAAGAATTTGAAACTGCAGGGGGTGTTCGTGTAATTTCCAAAACCTTAAGGAGTTTTATGAAAAAGCCGAAAACTTGAAGGGGTGTTAATGTAAATAACTCTATTAATATTTGGTTTCACTTTTGCATCTACCTCATATATAGAAGCCTAAGTTAAAATAGAGATATTTAGTCATATACCTATTCTTAGCACTGTTGAGGCCCAAAAAAGTCCATAGGTGGGCCCAAAATAAGTTTTCGGTCCAATACGATACTGTATTAAAAAAAGTCACAGGAGTACACGAAGGCTCATCATATACAAGTCATAGTCCACGTGTCATGCTAAATAAATAATTTGCCATGCTAAGGATTGAAATAATATTATAAAATACAAGCCTATGCTAAACTAAGCATCGTGTCCCTCTTCAAGGACGATAAAATTGAAGCACGCCAAGCGACATGCCACGCCAAGCAAGGAATTATTATTCCACACTCAATCACGCCACAAGTTTAAGTGGGCCCCAAGCCACTCAAATACCCGGGGCTTGCTTGAGTGGGTTGTGGTATGGATGTAATAAGTTGTCATGAGGCTCATTGATGGGCCGAGAAATGGAGGTTCAGGGTTGCTTGGGAGCCTCGGAACCCAAGCCCATTTCTTAGGCCCAAACATATGGGTGAGCACAAAAAGGGAAAATATCTCAACCAAAATAACCCAACCAAAATAGCCCAACCAAAATGGTCCATTAAACTTAACCAATATGGCCCAAAACTTGATGAGATCAGCCCATTTGTTTGGAAGGTTGATTTGCCATCTTAGAAAGCTCATACAATTAGAAGTAAGAAGCAGCAAAGGCTCCAGCATTTGGCGGAAAGACAAAGCCATGGAAGGAGCTTGGAAGACCATGTGCACAGGGCTCCTGGGAGGGAAGGAACAAGTTATCAAGCAAAACACCCAAGGGACCAAAAGATATTGGTGCGCAAGGAGCCACCCTTCGAACCAGCATGTATACCAAATTATTTCCTTCATCAGATCTGACCATGAAGGAGGAAAGGAAAGAGAGGAAAGGAGATACCTGAAAATAGGAATTCTTTAGGGCAGCTGCGGGAAAGGGACCTTGAGCTCCCAATATCCCTGATTTTGTGCAAAGGAGCAGAGTAGATTTCACCAAAATAGGATGATTGAAGGGATGAGGGGAGAAAGGAAGGGAATGACTTGGCAAAAAAGGGGCGGAAGCCATTAGGGTTTCTTGGAAAAAGAATGGCTTCTAGCGGCTATAAATAGGGCATCTTCTACCCACAAAAACCATCCACAACCAGAGAGTAAGCTTCCTCTCTTGCTTGCAAAACCTAGGAATTTTCATGCTTAGTTCATCTCCTCCTTCCTTAGTTTTCTTTCTTGGCATGCTGCTCTAACACTTGACAGAACCTCTGTCAAGCTACCGAAAAAGCACTCAAGCCATCTTCGTCCCTCTTTCCCTCATTCTCAACCAAACCTCTCTGCAAAACCCTTTCTCTCCTACCTTGATACCCCATCTTTCCCCTAGGAACACTTAATTTTCTCTTTAGTGCTAAACTCATGGCAACTTTACTCCCATGCCACAAGCCTCTCATGCCAAGCTAAGATTCTACTTGTAAGCATAAAGAATTTATCTGTAAGCAGCCATTATTTTGTTGGTGAAGATAACCAAAGTGTTTCCTAAGGCTTTACTATCATTTCGAAACATTTTGGGGTCTGATATTTGAACTTAGACACAGGGGATATTTTCTTCAGTTTGCTTCTTACGATAGCCCAACCCATTTGTAGCTGCAAGAAGAAAAAGTTCCCTACAAGCACTAATAATATAAATAAACCTTACACCATTTAATTTCTATAAACAAACAAAAAAAACCCAAAAAATGACAGTTAGCCCTATTAAATTTAATTTTGATTATTAAATTACTTTGATACCCTCTTCAGTGTTTTGGGCTTTTTTATGAGGTTTTGGGGTGGGGTTTGTTTTAAGAAATTAATGGAAATTTTGTAATTTAAAAGAAGTTAAAAGTCTTTTTGTTATGTTGTAAATGAGCTTTGTGTGTTGTGTTTTTAAGATCATCATTTTTTTTTTTTTTTTTTTTTTTTTTTTTAATCTGGACTCCTATGTTTGGTATAATAGTGAATCTCCCTTTAAAATATTGAAATATTTTCGATAGGTATCAACTTACCTAACTCACAACTGCGTGGTCCATACTATTTAGCAAAATAAAAATAAAAAGATGAAAAAGAAGAAACTTTAGTGCGAAGACAAAAGCATGAACTAAGAGAGAGAAAGATAGTATTTTTCAATTCAACAGGTATGCATTCATGCACCACATGTACCCAAAAGAATCATACGTACACATCACTCTCTACAAATCTAGAAGCCCTTTAGGCGTGGATAAGGCTTTTAGTCAACATTTTGCAAATAATATTGTCATGGCTAACGTTTTAAATTATGTTGGATTTTACTTCAATCACTCGTGTTGACAAAAAACAAATTGGTGTCCAAATTCACCATTGGATTTTATGTTCATACAGAGAATAAATAGATATGCAAGAATTTTACGGTGCTAGGTAATATGAGAGGAGAAGAGTTATATTATCACTCCATCTAACATTTATATTGCATGTTATATTATATGTATTTAGAGCATTTTCATTTATGCTCCCTATTTTTTAGTCAAAATTTATATAAGTTTAGTAAAACGAAGCTAATCGTATATAGTTAAATACATGGACATTATTTTGGTTAAAAAAGTTAATCACAATTTAATATGTATAAAAATACTAAAAGGAGTAAACCATTGCTATAGGACTGTTCTTTTTCTGCATAGGACAAACACGATACTAGAGAAGACATCAATTTCAATTCCAAAGGCTTAATTATGTCCAGTCTTAGTCGCAGCAGGGGCACGTGGGATGGGATAGTCATGGTATATGGTCCTAACAGCAACGGGCGACATGAATGTGCAAGTACTACGAGAAAAGGGCTTAACGTGTATGGCCAGTTTTTATTTATCTGAAAGATGGAATTTCAAAACAACTAAGCAAAATGCGAGGAGAAGTACAAACCCCACAAAACAAGAAGGCGCAAACGTACGACAAAGCATAACAACAACACTGCTACTAGAAAGATGACAGCTAAAGAAGACGTAGTCTCAGAGACAAAACAAACACGTCAAGAAGTCCTCTCACAGCAGCTACCATTAGTCATTCCTTGGGGTTGGTGGCATGGAAACCATCCCTGTCTAGAAGAGAAATGTTAGCAACCTTCTCTCTAACCTTCTCCTTCGGACCTTCTCCCTTCTTTACTTGACATGTGTCATTCTCCTTACACTTCAAACAATGTCATTAATATATTATACAAGCTAACTTTTTGTTTTCCAAGTTTACCCTTATTAAATGTATTCAATTTATCCAAAAACATTTCACAACTTTCTTACCATCTTATTAATTTTTTTCTAACGTCAATTATTTTTTTTTAAAGAACATATCTGCTTTTTTTTCAAAAAAGAGGAAATGTCTGTTTTTAAAACAAAAGGAGTTTTTTTTTTTTTTTTTTTTTTTTTTCCTTTCTAAACCCTTTGTGTTTTTTTTAAAAAAAATTAAAAAAAGGACATTTTCTCTTAAAAGCAGATATGTTCTTTATAAAAAATAATTGACATTTAAAAAAAAATTAATAAGATGGTAAGAAAGTTGTGAAATGTTTTTGGACAATTAAATACATTTAATATGGGTAAACTTGGAAAACAAAAGTTAACTTGAATAATAAATTAATGACATTGTTTTAAATGTAAGGAGAATGACACATGTCAAGCAAAGAAGGAAGAAGGTACAAAGGAGAAGGTTAAAGAGAAGATTATTAGCATTCCGTTGTCTGGAATATGCATTAGAGAGGATGGGGTCAGTTGACCCATACGTGTATGGCCAGTTTCTTCATTAGTTTCTAAACCTAATGTGGCTGATTTATATATGGTGCTGTAAACAGCTAATAATTAAAAAGAATAAATATAAGAAACATTTTTTATAAGTAAATATTGAAAGTACAATAAGAGTGACAAAAAAAATAGAAGATGGAAAAAAAGAATATTAAATTTACGAATTATGGAAGATGGAATCATACACATAAATCAGCTGTCAATCTAGAAGCCTTTCATAATCACTCATATTCGTGTATAATTACAATATATCATTAAATATATATATATTTTTAATTTGATTTAATATGGGTATAATTAGAAAATTATACAAACTTTATTTTCCATTCCTACTCAAAACAAACATGGGAAAGGGAATAAACTGATATCTCTCAGTTACTTTCCCAACATTACCAAAATTGGGAAAAAAATCTTCAATTTCCCATTCCGTAGGAAATAATATGGGAAGTGATTTCCCCTCAAATTTGTTCCTTGAACCAAACGGATAGTAAGTATTTTACAAAGGGGCTATTTTAGCCAATTTTGCTTAAATTTAGTACAAATTTTTGTTTATAAATTTAAATATATGGACATATTTTGTACAAAGAGTTAATCAAGTTTTGGTATGTATAGTACTTGGAAGAGCCACTCTCCCACTTTTCTAAACTTCGTTGAAGAATACAAGTCGTACATTAGAAACTTGACTAAAAGAAATACAATATATAATAAGTGGTGTACTCTTAATAATACCAAAGCATTTTATGAGAAAAAAACCCCCACACTTATTATTAGACTTTGTAAGTAGTTAAGTTATGGACAATATCTGTGTTATTAATAGTGGGTCGCTGATTCGTCTACCTTTATCTACATGTTACTTTTTATCTATATGCTACTTTTTACAAATACACTAATAAGAAGCTTGTTAATTTAAAGTATGGGCCCCCTTCAAAAAGTCATTACATGAAAAACTGAAAAGTATTTAACTTTAATAGAAAAGTTTTGAATATTTATGTATTTTTCAAACTGATATTTATATTTTGCATCTCCAATCTTACAATTCTAGCAACGTGCACACTGACTAAGGCCTGTATAGATCCTGTGAGCAGAAGTGTTTCTGCTACATAGACAAACACGAGACTTGGAAAGACATCAATTTCAAATAGAGTCTTTGATTCTAGAGAGTGGCGCATTTGAATTCCACGAGCACCAACCGACAAGAATCAATTAGGTTAGGACGCAACATGTTTGATGTGTCCCAGAGAAAAAACGATGCATGTGCTTTATGATTCAGGAAAGCCTGCGCCTGAATATTTAGACCACCTACTAAATAAGCTGATGGCGTTGAACCGAGTAAAATCATAAATGATTTTGCCAAAGGAAGCTTCCCAGTGAGTTTGTTCCATGCTCAGTTAGGTCAGTCGAATAATACAGTGCATTTGTTCTTTTACATTTGAATTTGATTCTATTCTTTCGTAAATTAGAATAATTTAAAATAAATAATAAAATACCACTTTATAAAAAAATAAAAAATTATTCAATGACCAACCATGGAATTATCAAGTTAATTTCTTCATCCAAGACTTGAGACTTCGACACCTGTGCACAACAAATATTATAAAAATAAAAATAAAAATTATTATCCCCGAAATATTCACGTCCTTAAGCTAAAGCTACCGTTCATATTTATTGTGCGCATTTTTTTCCTTAGGATAAAATGCATATAACCACAAATCACTATAGAAAGCTTAAGCCTAAAGCTACTGTTCATATTTCTTGTGTCCTTTTATTATCTTAATAAAAATTTCTTAGGAGAAAATGCCTATAACCACTATAAAAAGTAGCATGTAAAGCTTCATTTTGCAAAGCCATCAGTTTTCTCTCAAAGCAAGTGATAGTAAAATTAAAATATCGCATAATCCCAGTCTTAGTGAAATGGGCTCCCAATCACCTCCTAAGCTTCCTACCATTAATTTTCCGTTGAAGACTTGAAGCCTGGCTCAAGTTCTTGGCTGTCCACCTCCAAACAAGTCCGGTATGCACTCGAAGAGTACGGCTGTTTCTTGGCGTTTTATGATAAAGTTTCTGCAGAACTTCTAGACAAAATCTTTGGCCAGACCAAAGATCTGTTTGAGGTTCCAATTGAAAACAAAATAAAGAACACAAGTGAGGAACCATATCGTGGGTATATTGGGCCAAACCCTCTCATGCCTCTCTATGAAGGCTTGGCCATCGACAATGTCACGTCCCCACAAGAAACTCATAAATTCAGACAGCTTATGTGGCCCGATGGCAAGAACAACTTCTGGTAATTCCCCTTTTTATACTATTAAATGTTAAAGGATAATATTCTCTTGTCATACTTATATTCTATAGGGCTAACGACAAAACACATCCTGATGTTTGGGGTCATTCTCAATATGGGCTCCCGGCTTTCAATTTCATCAATTTACACCCTATGGTTTTCATCATATATGACCAATTTAAGCCCTCCGTGCCGGATTCTTACTCGAAATTGGTTTAAATTTACACTCCAACATATACATTTGTCTGACAACTTAATCTCAAAATATCGTTACTCATTTAACAAAATCCTTAAATTTTTTATAACACGTACTTAATTTCTATTTTCTTGTTTTGGACAGTGAGATCATAGATTCATTTGCCGAGTTATTAGCAGGCTTGGAGCACACAGTGGAACAAATGCTGTTTGAAAGCTTTGAGGCAGCAAAGCAGTACGAGTCTGTTGCTAGCTACAACAGTCAACTTCTTAGGTTCCTCAAATATAATACACGAAAGGAAACTGATGCCACCTTAAGGTTTGCGAGCCATACAGACAAGAACTTTGCCACCATTGTTGTTCAGCACGATGTTGGTGGGTTGGAGGTCCAAACAAAGGAAGGTGATTGGATTAGCATTGAGTCGGCACCTTCACAGTTCTTGTTCATGGCCGGTGATGGATTGCAGGTGGGTCCCATACATATATGTATTCGTGCTTGTTGATAAATATACAAGGGCAATTTTCTAAACCTTAAACTAAATTTTGCTCATCATACCACGGTATAATATTTTCTTTTTGGACTTGGTTTAATTAGGTATGGAGTAATGACAGAATAAAAGCTTGCCACCATCGAGTGAAGGATTGTGGGGACAAGATAAGATACTCACTTGGGATGTTTACATTCAACAATGGGGTGTTGCAAGTACCGCCAGAACTAGTGGATGACAGCCACCCACTGCTCTATAACCCATTTGATAGTCGAGGGTATGTAAGGTTTTATACATCGGCTGAGGCCAAAAAAGAGAAGTCTCCTATCAACGCCTATTGCGGTGTTGGACTTGAAAATTAGCAAATTCTGCAGTTTAAAGTTGTGGTATGGTGAAATAAGTATGTGGAATTTGGAGGTGTCTTCCTTTTCAAGGAGAATACTCCAAGGGTAATTCTGTAGTCATATGCCTAAGCAATTCAACTTTGAGAATTATTGTATGATAAACTGCTCTTGCCAGAAAAAATTGTTGCTTGCGCATGACAAGGAAAGTGAAGTTTGTTGGAATTCGTGTAGCACAAAGGTAGCACAAACAAGCAAGAGAATACAACAAACAAAACAATCAATCACACAACATACAATTTATGAGGTTGTTTGGGTGTGGTCTACAATCCCAAGTCAAGTAAAGTCAAGTGGAGGCCCAATTTCAAGAAGCCTAGCCAAATAAAGACATTGTTATTTATAATATAAATAGACTTATTATCATAAAACTTCCCTAAGGTTTATGAAACTATTAGATTGCATCCTTAATGTTTTTTTTGTGTCACTCGTGGTCCTCAAGGTTAGTATGTATGATCACAAATGGTCCATGCCGTTAGGTTCTGTCAAAAACTTCGTTAGTTTGCTGATGTGGCATATGTATATATATATCACAAAATATCTCTGAGGTTCACACACGTATCATAAATGGTCCTTACGAATTTTTTTTATTTTTTCATTTAAAATTCATAAAATTTTAGTTTTCTTTTTAAAATTATTTATAAATGAAAAAAAACCATATATAGAAGGATTTTAATCTTGAGGATCATTTATGAACCATAAACCCTTAATTTTTTTCATTTTTAAATTTTATGAATTTTAAATTATTTTTTAAAAACTCCATTAGTTTATTGATGAGGCATATATATGGAGCCCACATCTACAATAATATAGTGTCATATGTATTTAAAATATAATATATATTTTTAAATAATTTAAAATTCATAAAAATAAATAAAGAAAACCAAAATGTTATGAATTTTAAATATTAAAAAATTAAAAAAATTCACAGGGACCATTTGTAATAGGTGGGTGAACTTCAGGGATGTTTTGTGATATATATATGCCACGTTAGCAAACTAACGGAGTTTTTGACGGAACCTAACGATGGCACCATTTGTGATCACATATACTAACCTTGAGGACCACGAATGACAAAAAAATATATTAAGGATGCAATTTGATAGTTTTGTAAACCTTAAGGATGTTTTGTGATAATAAGCCATATAAATAATTAAATAATAAATTGAATGACAAAATCCACAAACTTGGTTTGGGGTCAGCCAAGGGATTCAAAGGGATGTAGGTTTCTCGCTAGCCACCTTGTGGAGAAAAGCAGAGAAAAGCAGCCAAGTTCTTTGGTCTTCTCGAATTTTTACATTCTAGTTAAGAATCAAGGTCTTCTGCAAGAAATGACACATAAATAAATGACAAAGAGATAAGAGTGGAATAAAGAAAGAGGCGAAGATTGAGGTTGAGGTAGAAGAAGCCATTGTTGAACGCCAACTTTGATATGTTGTGGTTGGGACACAACCCATCTTTTGGGTACTGAAATTACACAATTTTTGTGGCTGGATTAGAATGGCATGGAAATTGAAGCGAGTTTTGTGAGAGTTCGTTTTTCTTAAATGATGATTAAACAAAAATAATTGTTATATATATATATATATATATGTGGGAACCTAATTTTAAGCAAACCCTACGTCAAATATTTCATTCCATTTGGGGAATATTTGATTTGGGGATTCTTGCCTTGATTAGGGATTTGATTCACATTAAATCCCTAATTGATTTGAATCTCCTAAAATCAGAAAAATAATTCCTTTCCCAACAAGGATTATTTTTCTCCAAACCCTAACCCTCCGAGACCACTATAAAAGGATGGCTACACACAAGGGTTGAGGTAGGTCTGAAATCTCTACTGAAACTCTGCAGAAAATTCCTCTCAAACCCTAGCTACCTCCTCTCTCTTTCTCTCTTTTACATAAGGCTCCGGCTGCCCGGTTTACACCTAAAACACATCTCCGTACCCTAGATTAGCTAGTGTTTTTCTTACAAACTCTTGAACTAATTTAGGCATCAGAGGGCCTTTGGCCAACACACCCTGGGTGTGGCCCTCTTATATTTTGCAAGGAGAAAGAGACGGCGGAGAAAGAAGGGGAATCTTTCCAATCGAATATTCTTGTGGGGAAATTTGCTCACACAATATATATTACGTAATAAATATTTATTTGATTCTACTACATATATCCTATTCTATTATATATATATATATATATATATATATATATACTTGGGTAGAAAGGTACATAAACCGCCAAATGGTAGCTAACCTATCTTTTATACATATAAGTTATATTGTATTTGAATTAAGATTAAGTAGCAAGTAAAGTTGAAGTAGCCTTTTACTACTAGCTGGCATCAGTTTAACATAAGGTGGCAAGTTAGTTTTCATTTTATTGACACCTGCATCCACATGCAAGTATTAAAACATTAGATAGATTAGATATTCTTCCTTGGAGAATAAGTAGGCAAGTTGTTTAAACTTATCCATAGTTGTTGCCAATTCTCAACACTAGTAAAAACCGACATTCTCTAAGTATAAAAAGGCCCCTCTATTGTTGTTGAAAACACTAGATTACAACCTTGTGTAATCTTAGAGGTTGCACACAGGGAGGGAGAGAAAAAGAAAGAGATAGTGGTTATAATATTCTTGGAGGAGTTAGTGGTCCGAGCTTGTGTTTTCTTAACTTGGAGCTAGCTTTGGAAACGAGGTAGGGATTTCTTGGGGGCCTTTACGGGGATTGATCTAATTAAATTTCGTGAGCTCTATATTGTGTGTGATATTATAATTTGATGGATGTTCTTGATATTGGGTGTTTTCGTGTTGTTAATTATTTAATTAATGTTGGCTTGATTATATGTACATTGGTGATATTTAAATGATTACATTGTTTTTATGAGATGTGTGAATAGAAGAACTATATCATGTCATGGAAATTATTTGGAGTTCTTGAATTGAGAAAATAATGGTGGAAAAGAGGGTAATGGATATAGTCTTTTGTGTAGTTGAGTCTAACTCTTGGTAGATACTAGGTCTCAGGGATCCCACAGTGCACATGATTTTATTGGGTGATTCGGGACTGGCGACAAGGAGTTAGACAAGATGACTAACAAAAGGGGAATTACAGGATGATTGAGATGGGTGTCAGTTCATATAAATGGGCATTCGAGACCAAGTGATATAACCATAGTATGGGACGTGCAGGTCTGCTTGTCCAGTTACATGAATTAACGGGAATAGATGAAGAGCATTCATTCATGCATTATTATTAATAATAACATGATATTTTGGTTGTGTGATTGCATGTCACTTAATTTAGTTATATCAATCTACTGTGGTAAGGTCTCATGTACCTATTGAGCTGTGGTTGCTCACTCCTTACCCTGTTTAATTTTTCAGATGAATTAGTGGACAAGAAAAGGAATAAACCAATTGAGGCTGAATTAGATGAGAGTGATAGAGCTTTATTTGTTGTAAAGTTGTAAGATTTTGGATCTATTTTTATAAGATAATTTTATTTTAAACCCATGTTTCATCTTCTTTTTATTTTGTTTTACATTTATTTTCTCACACATCGGGCGTGGGGTTTCCATCGACCCCCAGGTCCGGGGCGTGATAAGTTTGTTGAAGGAGATTTAAAGACCTAATAAAAATATTAAATAGAATTAAGGCCATATGGCCTAATGATGTCAACGGCTAAAAAATAAGTGTTAGACCTCCATCATGTGATTTGCTTATTTTAATTTTAATATATATATATATATATATATGTATAGAGAGCTTTCATTGAAGGACACCCATGTAAGGGTCCACTTTGCATTGTATTTCACCAATCCAAACCGTATATTTTTTAGATAATCATTCAAAAAACATCACTCACTATGCCAGAAAAGCCTTTTAGCAACAGATAAAATATGTTGCCTATTCCCCCAAAATATTGTGGTATTTAAGCATGTTGATAGGCAACAGATATTATCCATGGCCTTTTTATACTTACAACATCAGATATTTAGTAAACTCCGATGCGTGAAGGATTTCCGTGTGCTGAAAAAACGTTGACTTCTGACGCCTAAACCTGAAACAGCATCAGTGGTCTCAAAAGTGAGGAGGCAAAATAGGTTCTATAGCATCATTGGTATCTCTTATACTAATGCGTATTATCAATTACAACGTCGCAGAAACAAATAATGTTGTTCTGAATTATGTTATACGTCATCACTTTTTCTATTTTCCGGACGTGAAAAGCCTCAAGTAGCGTTGGTGTTCACACGTTTTAGATTTATTCCTGTGATGGTAGGGTAAAGTTCCTCATTGTCTTGAAAACCATTTGTGGTCAACAAGTCAACTTTCTTTTGTGTATGAGCGTGCCACTGCTAGCAATAAACATCCTAGCAGACTTCTTTAAAAGGTGGATAACTTGCGCCCCAAGTTACTGATTTTTAAACAAGCAATTGTGAATTTGGGTGAGGAATATCTCCCAAGTAAGCTCTTTTCTTGCCTTAGACTGGTGAGGACTTCACAATTTTTCACAATACAAGACTGGTAGTTTTGGCCAGAATGAATGATTAGAAAGTGAATTGTTTTAGGCAGAACTCCCTTTTACAAAACTCAAAAGGAAAGACAAACTCTAAAAAAGACCAAAAAGAGCGTTGGATTTCAATTTCTGCCTAGATAGATGCTTATGATCCGGACTGGACTGGGCTTGTCTGTGTTGGTTTGGACTATCAACACTTTCAATTGTCAAGTTTCAGCTGTAAATCGATACCAATGTTCAAGTTTGGCAGAGTTTTAATCTATTTCAAGCCCTGGAAGGCTTTTTGAACAGGAAGAATTGGAACCTCTTCAGTTTAGAAGGGGCAGAAGTGGCCGGATTTGATGATTACTGAGCTGGAACTGCACTGTAGTACATGTTCTTCTTAATCAGGGCTTTCCATAAATTTGCTAAGGTTTTCATATTTGTAAAAACCCGGACTCTGCTTGATTTGGCTTATGCTGAACCAAATTTGTAATAAAAGAAATCTCGCTTTGTATGACTATTTCTCTAAACTGAATTTAAGTTAGAGATTCTGAATTTATAGATGACTTGTTTCTTGTGGCTCAATGAGCTTTGGTTGCTTCAGTATTTCGAGGGTTTTTGGGATCAAGTGATTATTTTGAGTTTTTGTTTTTGATTGGTTTTTTGGCTGTCCCTTGATCTGTTCACCTCGCCTCATATTTATAGAAAGTGTTGGAGTGGGATTTCTAATCTTTTAATAATGGGCGGCAGATTTTCCAACAGCAAGATCTTTGATTTTAAATTAAAATAAAAGGGGAATTTTATCTATTCTGTCAAAAGGCTATCAACAGTCAGTTCTTATGGTGGTCACTTCCCTGCCTTTTTTTTTTTTTAAAGAAAACCTAATCTCTTTTCAACTTGTAACTGCTTTTTGTAAGAATTCAATCTGCCGTGATGGTTAGTTTGATTTTCTAGATGAACAACTCTCTGCTCCCTACTTATCTCTTTAGAAATTATAGTGTGCTTATCCCTTGGAAATGATACCTGATCTAGAGCAGATTTTTCTTTGTATATAGAAAGGGATTTTGATATTCTTCCTTGACTGTAAAGACTGAAGAAGTCTTCCTGTAAAACATTCTTTCATTAATTCCCCATCAACTCCCTTGTGATAGTTGAAATTGTTGACTTTTTCAAAGCTAGGTAGTCACGTGGGGTTCTTCCTTAAAAACACAGTTTTTAAAGGGAAAAGAACACCTGCTGATTTGCTTTTTGAGATCAAGCGGTGAAATCTTTCAGAAGCTGAGTTTTAATTACAATTTCTTTTAGAAGTTTGATATGCTTGGTGATGAATTTACTAATTTTAATTTTGGCAATTTCATTGATTCATTTATTCTCTGTGCTATTCTATACCTCTGCCAATTTGCAAAAAGATGTGGGCCTGTGATGTTTTGGTTTGGGCTGTCCTTTCTATTTTCCAATGCTTGAGATTGTTTATTTATCATGGGTTTGATAAATTTTGAGCTTTTCTATATTTGGGCCGCTCTCAAATTTCTTTAAATCAAGCCCAAGCTGTGCTTATGTCTTTGTGGGTTTCAAAAAATGGGCTGGGCTCCGCACAATTTTTAGGCCCAAACAACTAGTTGTTATATAAATGTTGATGCTACTTCTAATTTTGGGCATCAGTGATCGTAGATGTCTGCTGGTAGTTTTAATCTTTTAACTTCAGTTAGTTCTGGAAAACTGAAGTTGTTATAAACAATAAGCATCACTTATGTAAGCATTACTGGCTCATTCATTGATGTCGGTAGGAGTGCCTAAGTGGTCGATTGAAGAATATTTGATGTTCTTTAGGCACTGCACCAAGAGGTCTGTTGCTTAGTGGTAGGTGGTCATTAGGAGGACTTACCCTTCGTTCCAGCCTGGATACAGGCAGTTTGAGAAGGAACCAGAAGAAGAAGCTGCTAGGACAGATTTCAGGAAGAAGTTCCTGAGCGTGACTCTACCTAGGGATCTGCCCTTTGGAGGTGGGAAGCCCACAGATTCATGGTGCAGACCATTAAGGACATTAATGCTCAAGTCATTGAAGGTAGATTCCCAATTCTGCTTCTTTTCCTTTATTCTTTCTGTAGTTATCTCATTCTGCCTATGTGATGATGTCTAACAATTTGTTCTTTCTATAACAGATCATTCCTTGACAAAGAATATTGGAGGCCAGGCTCTCCATGCCGGAAAAGTGATTGGTAAGTCCCTGAATCCTGTCATTTTATATTTTCCTTGCTGGATTGCCTTATAACCTTTCTTCTCTGTGCAGTTACTTCTGTCATAGCTGCTGGGGATTTGGAACTCCCTTTTGGAGATGAAGGAGATGCATATGAGACTCTGGCCGAATAGACAAGTGTTGTGGCAACCCCTTCTGCTAGAGGGAACAAGAGAAAAGAAACTGCTCTAGTTCAGCACAGTGCTGTCTAGCCTGAGACTTCAGGTAGATTTTAAGAATTTAAACTTTCCTGATTCTGTTCTATCCAGTTCAGTTTATGTTGTAACCATTGATCTTCTATTTTTTGCAGTTGAAAGTCCTTCTCCTCCTCCTACTAGGTCGAATAGACTTAGGAAGAGGACTGTGATGGAGTATGTGGCCACAGAACCTACAACAACTCCTACAACGACCTCTGGTACTGATGAAGAATTGAGAGAGGCCCTTGAAGATGTTGAGCAAGAGAAAGAGGTCATGGAAGGACCTCAAGAGAAAACCAGAGAAGTGGACGAAGAGGTGAGTCCTTCTCTTTAACTAGTTTAAACAGTTCTGTCTTGGTTTTGTTTTTCTGTTCTGACTTTTGTCTTATCTGTAAGAGGAGATCCCTGCTAAGGTGATTACACAGAAGGTAGAGTTGACGAGCTCTGAACTAGCCCTATTTGATGACGTGGATGCAGAGCACTCCACTACTGTTCCAGAGCCTGAAGCGGAGCAGGTAGAACATTTTGCAGCATTTGAAGAGCCTGAGGAACAGGCAGGACAACTTGCTATGTCATTTTAATGTTCCTGGTCTTGAGGTAATTTCTTGCTCTGTTTTGAACTCTGTCTAGTCTCTACAGTTTTGCCCTGTCTTCGTCTAATTGATATTTCTGTTTTTAGGTAAAAGAGATCAGAACTGCTGGGACTATGGTTATGATGACTAGTCCTCTCAAGCCTCCTATTGTAGCCGTAAGTGTTTATGTGCCTTAGCCTTTTCTTTTATTTTGATTCTGCCTGAAACTGACTTGTATTCTTCCTCTGCAGATGCCTATCCATTCTCTTTCAGGTTCATCTACCACGGCCTCTTTTGCTGATCCATAATTGGCAAAGTTTGAAGCTATGGATTTAGATGCTCAACTGGAGAAACTTGAGAAGCTTAGCTCTACTCCTAGCAAGGTTAAATCCAAGGCTGTGGATGAGGCAGTGGAAAGGGTAAAAATCTGGCAATCGACTGAGCTGGACCTGGATGAAAACAGAGAAGCTGTTGATCAATTGATGAAGGATCTGGACCTGCTGCATAGACAGAACATGGCTCCCAAGCCCATTCTTGAGATCAGCCTGGACTTGGCAAAAGATGTACTCAACCTTCATGACCACTATGAGGATCTCAAGCCAACCTTCAAAGCCTCCGAGTTTTGCAAGACTACTCATGAAGCCAATTTGGCTGAAGGCAGAACTGGACACGATGGTTGCAAGCTACAAAGAAGCCAATGCCATTGCTGACAAATTGGAAAAACAAATTGAAGAACTACAAAAACAGTTGGCAGAATGGAGGGTGGTGTAGAACAAGCTTCGAGCTGGACTGGGTTCTAAGACTAAGGCCACTTTTCTTGTGCAAAACATGGTTTCAACTTCCAGGCCAGCGCTGGAAATTGCAGAGGCTTCAATCTACCATGGGGTGCTGCTTCAGAAAGAACTTTCCACCAAAAAGACCAGCTTGTAAGAAACTCTTAGGAAACTAGGACTTTGAATTTCAAAAACTTGAATGTAATAAAACTTAGTCATGAAAAATGACTATATTTAATAATATAAAAAATTGGTGAAACTTTGCATTTTCAATTTCTTCTATTTTAAGTGAAATAAAAAGAAAGCAGAAAATAAAACACACTTAAAAATAATACTAAAAGCACTACTCTTGACAAAATTCAAACAACAGTTCTATCTTTTTCTTCTTCAATCACAGGATCTGTTTGTACTGCCTGTGAATCCCACATAGTTGGATAGAACTTCTTTAACCATTTGCCATTGATTAACGCAGCATGGATGTCTCCCTTTTGATCTTGTAATCTGTATGCCCCCAGTCCAAGGACTTGTTTAATTATGAAAGGACTTGTTCCAAGGGGCAGAATTGCCTTCCAGACTATTTCTCCTTCTTCAAAACTCTTGTTTTTAACTCTTTTGTTATAGGCCCTTGCTATAACCTGTTTTCCTACTAAGAGTTTGTTGAGGGTATCAATTCTGGTGGTATCCAAACCTTCTAGTTCTAGCAGCATTGCTTGAGAGTAGTCTTCTCCAACCAGATTGTGTTGCTGAGCAATTATGAGAGATTGGACTGCTATCTCTACTGGCAGAATTGCATCGTGATCATAGGTTAGAGCATATGGGGTCATGCCAGTTGCATATCTCTTTGAAGTTCCATATGCCAAGAGAGTTTATGATAATTTCTCATGCTATTGCTTTGGATTTTTCTAAAGCATTTTTCTAATAATGTTGATGATCACCTTGTTACTTGATTCTGCCTACCCATTAGCTTGAGCATAATAAGGAGTGGATTGAAGTAGTTTGAACTTGAATGTTTCCGCCATATCTAGCATTTCTCCATATATGAAAGAAGATCCCCTGTCAGTTGTGATTGAATATGGAATACCAAACTTTTGTATGATATGTTCTTCTATGAAGGTGATGATTTCTTGAGATGTGGTGGATTTAACAGGTTTGGCTTCTACCTATTTGGTGAAATAGTATGTAGCTATAATGATGAAACAGTGTTGTTTGCTATTGGCTAGATAGATTTTGCCAATGAGATCCACTGCCCATCCTTTGAATGACCATGGCTTAACCACTAGATTCATGGGAACTAAAAGAGCTTGCTGGATTGGTCCATATCTTTGGCAAGGCTCACATCTTTTGGAATATTAAAAGCAATCTTTCATCATAGTTGGCCAGAAGTGGCCATATCTTCTAACTAACCAGCACATCTTCATTCCACCTTGATGAGCTCCACAGATTCCTTCATGGATTTCTCCCATGACCTTCATATACTCTTTTTTCCCTAAGCACCTCAAAGGAGCACATCTTTTCTTTTTCGAACCAAATCTCCATTCCACACGAGGTAGTTTAAGGCTATAATTCTAATCCTTTTTTCAGAGGGAAGGGTTGGATACTGCAGATAATTGATTATGGGCAATCTCCAATCTTCTTCAGTCATTATTGCAGTATTTACTCTATTTCCATTCCTCTGGTCAGGACAGATGGTAGGCTTTTCTTTCCTACCTTGATGATTCTTTGTACACAATCTTCGGGCATCTGTACTCCTGTTGCTATCTGGGTCATCTTATTAGCTGCAAAGTTTTCTTCTCTTGGGATATGTTCCCAAGTGGCCTCCCTGAATTCTGCCAAGAGATTTCTGGTTACTACTAGATGGACAGCTAAAGAGAGGCTCAAACATTTATATTCTCCAGTAATCTGTTTTAGTACAAGCATGGAATCTCCCATAATTTTGACAGATTGAATTCCTAGTTCCACTAGCATCTCTAGTCCTATGATTAAAGCCTCGTATTCTTCCTTGTTATTGGTGCACTGGAACTCTAGCTGGAATGAATAACAATGTTTGATTCCTAGTGGTTCTTCCAAAACAATTCCTTCTCTAGAGGCTGAGTCTGTTTTAGATCCATAAAAGTATAGCTTCCAGGGGGTGAGATGGACTGAATAAATAAGATGATTGAGACAGGTGTGAGCTCTAGTTAGCAAGTCTGCATTGGCTATATCCATGGAATCCATATTCTCAATTTCTTCCCTTGGATGATCAGCCAAGAAGTCCGCAATAGCTTGTCTCTTGATGGACTTCTGAGGAACATATCTGAAGGCAAATTCTGACAGGGCCAAAGTCCATTTACTAATTCTCCATCTCAACATTGGCCTTGTTAGCATGTACTTGATCAGATCTGTCTTGGCAATGATGTAAGTGGTGAAAGGTAGCATGTAATGTCTGAGCTTTATAGCAGTAAAGTATAAAGCCAAACAAAGCCTTTCAATTGCAGTATATTTCCTTTCTAGTTCTATCAAAGTTCTGCTTAGGTAGTAAACTGTCTGTTCTTTCCCTTCCTTGTTATCTTGGACTAAAAGACTCCCAATGGATACTTCTGATGTAGAAACATATAACTTGAATGGTTTGCCTCTCTTTGGTGGGGATAGAATTGGTGGATTTGAGAGGTAATGTTTGATTTCCTCAAAAGCCTGCCGGTGCTGTTCTTCCCACTTATATCTCTGTTCCTGCTTCAATCTGAACAAGGAGGAGAAAGGCTTGATTTTTCCTGCAGAATTGGATATGAATCTTCTTAAAAAGTTGATTTTCCCTAGGAGACTCTGCAACGCTTTCTTGTTCCAAGGTGGCAAAGCTTCCATGATAGATTTTTCTTTGATCTTGTCGATTTCTATTCCTCTTTGGTGGACCAAGAAACCTAAGAAGTTGCCAGCTTGAACTCTAAAAACACATTTCTTGGGATTCATTTTCAACTTGTTTTGTCTCATTCTTAGGAATGCCTTTTTTAGATTTGATACATGATCTCCTTTTTCTGGGGATTTAATCACCACATCATCTATATAAACCTCTAAAGAATGACCTATCACGTCATGGAAAATAGAATTCATTGCTCTTTGATAAGTGGCTCCTGCATTTCTCAAGCTAAAAGGCACTTATATGCCCTGGACACATGAAGGCTGTCTTGTGGATGTCTTTTTCTGCCACCATTATTTGATTGTATCCTGCATTGCCATCCATGAATGATAGCATTTGATTATGAGTAGCTCCATCTACTAGTATGTCTGCCATAAGCATTGGATATTCGTCTTTGGGAGATGCTTCATTCAGATTTTTGTAGTCCACACATAACATGATTGCCCCTGTTTTCCTTTTAAGAACTGGTACAATATTAGACAACCAATCAGCATAAATGGCTGGCTTGATAAAACCTGCTATAACAAGCCTTTCCACTTCTTCTTTGACTTTTAGTTCTGTCTGCATAGACATCCTTCTTCTAGCCTGCTTGACTAGTAAGTATCCTTCTTTTATTGGTAACTTGTGCTTCACTAATTCTCTATCTAGTCTAGGCATTTCATGGTAGTGCCATGCGAAACAGTCTTTGAAATGATGCAGAAGTGAATGATTTCATTCTTTACTGGCTCTTCTAGTAATGTGCTAATGAAAGTAGCTCTAGGATCTTCTTCTGCCTCCACAATTTCCATAAAACCTTCTTCATGCCAAAGGGCCAATTGCTTGTGTAGAGTGGAAGGAACACATAGACTCTAGTGGATCCAATCTCTGCCAAGCAATGCATTGTAAGTGGTAGAAGTGGTGTCTACCACAAAAAAAGCAATCTTTAGCTTCTTGGTTCCCACTATGACATCCACGTCTAGTATTCCATGAGTCTTAGTGATGCCTCCGGCGAAGTTGGTGACCGTTAAGCGTATTGGAATTAGATCCTTCTCTGTTCTGCCCATTTTGATCAGCAACCTGTGAGGTAAAAGATTAATGGCTCCGCCTCCATCTACCATTACTTTGGGAATAGGAACTCCTCCAAAGTTTGCTGTTATGAACAAAGGTCTGAGATGGTTTGCCATTTCTTTGGTAGGTTCGGAAAAACAAAGCTGTTCTGCGGCCAATTTCATGGAAGTTCTGCCTGTTTTGGCAACATATATTTGTTGTTCTGGTGCCTCCTCTACTTTTGCCAATTTGCACTCGAAGGTCTCTTGTGATAGCACATCTCCTTCCAAAGTGTTCTCCTGTCCTTCTACTGCCTTAAACTTTTCTGGCATGATAAACACCATGTTAATGCCTAGATCGCCCTGTAACAGGGTTTCTAATTCTGCACTGAAAGCCTCAGTTTCTTCAACTAGTTCTCCATCGTACTCCATATGTTCTTCTCCATATTCTTCTGTCCAATCTTCTTACTCTCTTGTTTCGAGGAATCCAGTCTGGTTGTCTGCAGATGGTTCATAATCCAACTGCTCCTCTTCATATTCTTCAATCCAATCTTCTTGTTCTTCCACTAGAATGGGTTCGGATTGACCTTGTGACTGTGAAGGTTCTAACTGGTTGATTGAGGATGAGGCAGGATGGGTGGAAAGTTTGCTTGGAGACTCCGTCTTTGTCAGTTTTTCTATTGTTACTAAGGGAGGTTTCTCAGCCAATTTTAACATTCCTACTGTTATTCCTTCTTGTATGACGTCCCTGAAAACAACAGCTATTGGTGGAATGGTTCCAAGAGTTGTGCCATCTGCAATACTGTCTAACCTTGAGTTCCTTAGGCTTGGGCAACTTGTGGAGTGTCTCTATTTCTTTCTGTAGTAGCATCTCATCAAACAGAGCATCAACGTTGGTTAAATCGAAGGAATAAACTTTGTTCTGTGCGAGTTTGTTTGGAACAAACCCTCATGTAAATGGTGGTGGCTTCTGGTCCTTTGGTGGCTTTGTGAGAGCTTTGCAACTGATGAGATGTTTTAATTTTTCCATTTCTGCCACTACAACTTCCCTTTCTTCCGAGCTTTATGTGCCTTCTTTTGACTCTACTTCAACCAGGTGTACTGAAGATAAGGTTTTGTATTATGTGCCTTTGGAGGAGTTCCTCTTCTGTTGTTCTTCCCTAAGCAGCTCCTCGTATTTAGATGCTTTGTCTGCCAGTTCTGCCAGGTCTCCAAACAACATCCCATCAAATCTTTTTCTCAAAGAGATTTTAAGGGCGGTTTGAGCCATTTGAATGAAATGCCTTTCTTTCATAGGGATTCGACATTTCATTTTGAGCTTTCTGAACCTAGTTATGAAGTCTTAGGCAAGCTCATCTTCACTTTGTGTGAGAGCAGCAAGATCACTGATGGTGACTTCTGGCTGAATCCTGAAATAGTAGTCATGAAAGACATTTTCCATATGTTCCCAAGTTTGAATAGAATTGGCTGGTAAGCTAGTATACCAGGTGAAGGCTTGTCCAGAGAGAGAGTTTCCAAAAAGCCTTAGTTTTAACAGAGGGTTATTTTCTATGGCTATGCACTAGACAGAGAATCTGCCTATATGCTCGACTGATGAAGCATGGGTGTCCTCTCCATTGAACAAAGTGAAGTTTGGTACCTTAAAGCCCGGGGACAGAGGTATTTGATCAATATAGGCTGGATATGGCTTTCTGTAGGTGGGCCTTTCTCCTCTTCTGGCCTCAGGTTCCATCATCTTTCTTATCATCCTCTGTAGTGCTCCCATGTCATTCAAGGCATTGATAGGATGCAGATTTTGCCCTTGTTATGGCTAGTTGTGTTTAATCCTCTGTTCCATTATGTATGGTTTGGGCAGAGCTTCCTCCCAATGTTCTTCCACTTCTTCGAGATCTGGGTGATTCCTCCAGTTTGCCCCCGGTCAGTTCCTGTCATTGTTGGTAAAAGGGTTAATTCCCCCTTCTACCTCTCCTGCCTCTAACTAGTGGAGGGAATGGATTGGGGTCCATCCTTCTAACTCTGTAGGGCAATACAGCTAGTTGCTCATGCAGAAGTGCCAAGGGCTGATCACGTGGGACCACCGGTTGTGGAATAAGTGGAGGTTCTAGGGGGCCTGGATTGGTGCAGGGCTTTCTGGAAGGACTGGAGCTTCATGTTCTTGGACGGGAAGGTCTCCTCCCCTCTGTCTAGCTTGGGTTTCTCCATGCCTTGGCATTCCAGCTATCTGTATGATGAGAGGATTCTCTTAGTATGGCCAGGCCAGTCTTGGTGAAGGTCCAAAAGGGAGATCTAGCTACTGGACCACCATATCTGGGTTTGGAATTCTGGCAATAGCAGCCTCATGGTATTTCCTGAACTGCCTGTTGACTTGCCATTGCATCATGGCTGTCATGTTGTTTAGAGTATCCTGGCTCCTTTGTGCTGTGGCCCCTTGCCGGAACACAGCCTCCTGTATCTGGTTTAACCTTTTGGAACCAGACCCGGAACGTCTACTTCTGGTACTACCATGGGCTGATTGTCTAGCATCACTTTCTTCTTACTCAAGTCCCTCTCGGGGAGCTACTTGATCTCTTTCCATGGCGCAGCGTGGATTTTGGCTAGAACTTCCAATATTCATATACTAGAAGATTTTCCTAGGGGTATGTATACTGAGAGGTCCCACTGGGCGTGCCAAATTGTTCACCCATTTTAGATTTGTTCCTATGATGGTAGGGTAAAGTTCCCCATTATCTTGAAAACCATTTGTGGTCAACAAGTCAACTTTCTTTGTGTATGAGCGTGCCACTGCTAGTAATAAACACCCTAGCAGACTTCTTTAAAAAGTGGATAACTTGCGCCCAATTTACTAATTTCTAAACAAGCGATTGTGAATTTGGGTGATGAATATCTCATAAGTAATTTCTTTTCTTGCTTTAGACTGGTGAGGACTTCACAATTTTTCATAATACAAGACTGGTAGTTCTAGCCAGAATGAATGATTAGAAAGTGAATTATTTTTAGGCAGAACTCCCTTTTACAAAACTCAAAAGGAAAGAACAACTCTAAAAAAGAACAAAAAAAGCGTTGGATTTCAATTTTTGCCTGGATAAATGCTTCTGATCCAGATTGGACTGGGCATGTCTGTGTTGGTTTGGACTATCAACAGTTTCAACTGTCAAGTTTCAGCTGTAAATCGATACTAACGTTCAAGTTTGGCAGAGTTTTAATCTATTTCAAGCCCTGGAAGGCTTTTTGAACGGGCAGAATTGGAATCTCTTTAGTTTAGAAGGGGCAGAAGTTGCTAGATTTGATGATTACTGAGCTGGAACTGCACTGTAGTACCTGTTATGCTTGATCAGGGCTTTCCATAAATTTGCTGAAGTTTTCATATTTGTAAAAACTCGGACTCTGCTTGATTTGGCTTATGCAGAACAAAATTTGTAACTAGAGAAATCTCGCTTTGTATGACTATTTCTTTTAACTAAACTGAAGTTAGAGATTCTGAATTTATAGATGACTTGTTTCTTGTGGATCAATGAGCTTTGGTTGCTTCAGTATTTCAAGGGTTTTTGGGATCAAGTGATCATTTTGAGTTTTTGTTTTTGATTGGTTTTTTGGCTGTCCCTTGATCTGTTCACCTCGCCTCATATTGATAGAAAGTGCTGGAGTGAGATTTCTAATCTTTTAATAATGGGCGGCAGACTTTCCAAAAGCAAGATCTTTGATTTTAAATGAAAATAAAAGGGGAATTTTATCTATTCTGTCAAAAGGCTACAGCAGTCAGTTCTTATGGTGGTCCCTTCTTCTTCTTTTTTTTTTTTTTTAATTGCTTTTTGTAAGAATTCAATCTGCCGTGACGGTTAGTTTGATTTTCTAGATGAACAACTCCCTTCTCCCTACTTATCTCTTTAGAAATTGTAGTCTGCTTATCCCTTGGAAATGACACCTGCTCTGAAGCAAATTTTTCTTTGTATATAGAAAGGGATTTTGATCTTCGTCCTTGACTGTAAAGACTGGAGAAGTCTTCCTGTAAAACTGATGTGCTCAAATATTCGACATTTATCTATGATATTTCTCCATTTTTACACCTTTGTTTTACTCTTTTATATAGGTTTTACATCCTTTTATTACTTTTTTAGGTAATCACAAGCGAATGGTGGAAAATGAGCTAAAAAGAGAATGTTAAGTTTGAAAGGCCTGTGCAGTCAAGTTCACGGAGTATACTGTATTGACTCAGGAAGAACCAGAAGCTGAGCCACATATGCTTGGAAAGCTACAGATGTCTATTTTCTGGGAAATTTTACGGTTCGTGAATATCATTTTTCTAGAGGAAGTTATGGTGGTTTTAGTACAGGTAGTTTGGGCTGCGCGGGAATCTGCAATCTTTTATGAAGTCCAAGTTTTGAGGCCTAAATCACATCAATTGGGCCAATGACGAATATTCCTATTTCCCAGGGGTTTATATGTCTGAATAAAAAAATATGTAGGGTTTCAAAAACGTAGAGAATACAAGGAGCAAAAAAGGTTATTTTGAGAAAGAAAAAAAGGCGCCTGCTGTGCGAGTAAGGAGCTGATTTTGGAGTCGTAAAAATAGAAAAAAGAAAGGAGAAGAAGAGGGCAGCCACACCATCCCATTATCCTTCATCCTTCAAGGTTCCAAGGTCTGAAAGGCGTAGGAAGCGCGGAGAAATGTCAAGGCATCATCCAATCACTCTGGCTGACCAACACATCATCAAAGAGCTATCTTCTTCCTCTTTTTATTTTCTGTTTTGTATGTTCTTTCTTTCTTTTTTTACAAGGCAGGCCAAAGCCAGAAAAGAAAAAAAAGCTTAACAAGGCACAGCCCTACTTGGGCTCTTCTTAGGAGAAGAATCGTAGATATGAAGCCCCAAGGGTAACTCATACCCCAAGTTAGCAAGGTGATCAGCTGCTCTGTTTTGCTCCCTGTAGATATGAGAGCCATTGCATCTCCAATTACATTTAAGAGAGGATATGAATGGTTACAAGCCTTGGCAATCAGAGAAACCACCAGCACAAATCTTCCAAGAATCTGTTTTACAGCTGCCATCCACATTCAATTTGAAGTTGCCAAGGGTAGGAAGACTGCAATGGACTTGGATGACCTCTCTAGTAGGCTTAGCATTAATCACATTATTGGCATCAAGCCATTCACTAGAAAATTTCCGAATAGTGTGATGGGGGTTTGGAGGAGGCTCATAGCCAGGGTTAAAGATAGAGTTACATATCAATTTCCAACTCTGCCAAATAGAGGCTGTGAAAAACAAGTGTCCAAGGAAGGTTGCCAGAGAACATAATCTTGCTCTTCAGGTTGATTCTTAGCCAATCAGTAAAGTCTAAGGAGAAAGAGTGAAGAACATCAAAGGGAACCTTTATGAAATTCCATACCTTAAGAGCAAATCTACATCCTCTAAAAACATGATCCATAGTCTCAGGAAGAGAAAGGCATTTGTGGCAGTTAGGATTAGTTTTCATCAATCTCTTCTCCCTCTGAACATTTGTAAGGATTTTTCCATGCCCAATTAGCCAAAAAAAGGTTTTTAACTTTGGGGGCAAGCACAACTTCCAGATAAAGTCCCAAGGCCAAGGCACAATATCTGCATCATCAAAGAAGGAAAGGTATGCAGATTTAATAGAAAAGGAGCCATTATTTGATAAACCCCATATGCATTTATCATTTCTTTGAGACTCAAATCTAGTATGAATAGCACAAATCCTTTGCACAATTTCCGTAGGTAAGACCACTACTACAAAAAAGGAAAAACACGACGGGAATTCACCGTCTGTATTCAGTTTTCAAATGGTCGTGGAATCCACCGACATCTTTTCCATAACAAAACTACGACGTAAATACCCGTCATTGTTAAAACAAAAAACGTCATCAAAAAATAAAAACCGACGTCTTTGTACTGCAAAAAGACATAAAAAACAGTCGAGGATGAGAATAGACGACCAACTCTAACAAAAAAAACGTCGTTAAAAAGGAAACATATGACATATATTAACAGAACATGTCCGCAAGATACACATACAACGACGAGAACTAAAACTCAACGCCGTTAAATAAACCTTTAACGACAAATAGAAATATGACGTCTTTAAATACATAATAGACGACGTTATTGACACCTACTACGTCACAACATTTCCAACAACCGTCGTAAAATAAATTTTCCACTTCGATTTTTCTATGAATGATGACGTGGAAATAGATGTTAGGGTCATTACTTACGACGCATGTATGTACAGAGACGACGTTGAAATAAATAAACAACGTCGGTTCCAAATAAATGAGAGCCGTATTACAGAATTTATACGTCATATTTTGAAATATAATCGTTGTGTAATGACTCTGAAACGGCATCATTTCTCATTCCACCGTGTAAAATAATTTTAACGACACGATCTGAAAATAAACGACGTGGAAAAAATGATGTTGTCATTAATTACGACACATTAATTTATAAAGACGACGTTGTCGTCTATATACAACGTCGTTACCATGAAAAAGACCGCCGTGTTTCATAATTTATACGTCATCATTAAAAAAATTAACGTCGTCTAATTCATATATCTTAACGTCGACAAATTTACCAATGGACTTCAAATACCGTCGTGAATTCATCCTTTTCCACTTCGTTTATGAAAGAACATGCGACGTGGTAAATTTATGACGACGTCGTCTTTTGTAACGTTCAGGTTAGATATCTCGTCTTTTAGACGTCGGTATTATGGAATTGGAGTCGTGTTATTTTGAATTACATGGCGGTTCTTTATGCTTCTCCGACGTGTTATCCTGAATAACTGTTTCACAATAGCGTCGTGGTTCTTTATTGTTACGTTGCTTTAAGACGTCGGTAAATATATTGCGGTCGTTGAATGCTCCAAAACGTCGTTTTTTATTAGAACAGACGTTTGTTTTTCACATTTTTATCAAGACCGTCGTGTTTGTAACCTGGAACCAGTAATTTTTGTACTGATTGTTTTGTGGCCAAAACCTGTATAATGAAAGTGAAGAAATCACATTACAATATATTACAAAATTAATGTCATACACTGCCAATTACATAAAGCATCATTCAATCCATATATCTTCACACCCATCTCGAATATTTTGACTCCCTAACTCACCCACCACTTCATCAAATGTGTCAACATTTGGCATCCCTCTAGTAAATGGCTCACACTCAATTCTCACATCACCTAAGACATCATTACCAATAACATCATTATATTCTCTATTAGGCATTGATAACACTACCGACCAACCACGATGCATCGGGCCGTCAACAAAAAATACTTGTTTGACTTGAGAAGCCAAAACAAATTGGTCATTCCTATGTCCAATTTTACTCAAATCTACAAGGGTAAATCCAAGTTCGTCCACTACAAGACCAGAAGTACTATCTATCCAATCACACCTAAAGACTGGGATTGTAAACTTTTGGTAGTCAAGGTCCCAAATTTCTTGAATGACACCATAGAAACCCATATTTGAGAGAATTGGGTTTTTATCCTTGGCACTAGCAACTTGCATGGTATGTGCAAGTAAATAAACTCCACTATTTTGAGTTGTCCGCACATCATCTTGTGCCTTGATGTTAAATTTAATACCTTTAATAAGATAGCTCCTATATGATGGCACTGCCATGTTTGGACCAGCTGCTAGCCACCTTAAATTTTCTGATACGCCATTATTGTCTTCCTCATTAGTTGTACATTAATTTAATACGGCAGTATTTTGTATTTTACCGCCGTGGATTTATTTGTAATTATACGGCGCCTTATACGAAAACTTGGTCGTGTTAATTTCTGGGTAAAAACGGCGGCTTTTTTTGAAATCGTCGTCTTTACTTTCTACGTCGGTCGGTTCATAACTTCCACCGTTATTTGTTGGCTTAGATTTTACTACTCGGAAATCCTATTTCAATAAGACGTCGGTTTTTTAATTAGGTACGTCGTGTTTTAGGAACAACCATTTGAATCTCCATTTTTAGGTGTCTAAGGTGTTATTACACGGCGGTTTTATAGAACCGTCGTCTTTTAAAAAACGACGACGGTTTTCACTTAGACCGTCGTTTTTTTTTGTCGTCTTTGTCACTTTTTGTAGTAGTGGACTTGCTCAAGAGCATCAAGATTCCATCCATGGTCAGACATAAAATCTCGCACTGTCCATAACAACATGTCTTCAGAGAGGGGAATAGCAGAAAATTCCTCAAGCAAGCCACAACCCACCCAGTTATCCATCCAAAACAGGATGTCATCACCATTGCCAACCCTCCACTTTAAACCTTTAGTAAGAATCTGAGCACCAAATAAAATTCCTCTCCAAGTATTAGAATAATTAATATGAGCAGACTTATTACAGTTCAAATACTTTGATTCTTGAGGTATTTTCGATTCAAAATATGACTCCAGAGGCCTTGGTCTCTCTGTAAAAGCTTCCATCCAGATTTAGTAAGCAACGCTTGGTTCATCAAATGGGTTTGTTTAAGACCAAGACCACCCATGAACTTGGGTTTACAAACAGAAGCCCATTTGACAAGATGAACCTTAGTTGATGCCTCATTGTGACCCCAAAGAAAGTCTTGATTCATCTTGTCCAGCTTATCACAAATGCTAATAGGAAATTGGACCGTTTGCATAGAATATATAGGGATGGCAGAGGAAATGGCTTGTAAATACACTAACCTGCCAGCCATAGATAGCATATGACTTTTCCAGGAGGCAAGGCACTGTTGGACTTTGATGACAACATGGCTATAAGTATCATTCTTCACTCTAGAGTGAATAAGAGGGACACCAAGATAATTTCCCAAAGAATCAGTAAAAGGAGAACCACATATGGAAGCAATTTGGGTAGCGGTACCATGGTTTGTATTAGGAGAATAGAAGATCCTAGATTTGTCAAAATTGACTTGTTGCCCAGATAAACCACAAAAAGTCTCCAAACAATGATGCATAATTGTAGCCAATTGAGTGTGAGCTTCACCGAATAAGATAAGATCATCTGCAAAGAAAATGTGGGAAATTGCAGGCCCTCCTCTCACCACCTTAATTGGTTTCCATTTTTACTAAGGACATCACCATTAATTATGTGAGACAACTTCTCCATGCAAAGAACAAAGATATAAGGAGATAGGGGGTCTCCTTGCCTTATGCCACAAGCTGGTTGAAAACTTTCAGTTACTTCACCATTGAGAATAGCTTGATACTTGACTGTTGTGATGCATTGCATAAGCAACTCCAACACTCTGCCTCTAAGCCCGCTTCCCATAGTATATCTTTGATAAAATGCCACTGAAGTCTGTCATATGCTTTAGACAAATCAATCTTCCAAGCAATGAAGCCTTTCTTGCCTTTAGAGTTCCGAAATCTATGAAGAAGCTCTTGAGGAATAATAATATTATCCACAATTTGCCTGCCAGGAACAACGCTCACCTGGTTAGGGCTAACAATCTTAGGCATGATAGGTCTGAGTTTATTGACCAAAATTTTCGAAACGACCTTATATAAGGTGTTGCATAGGCTAATTGGCCTAAACTGAGACATAGCAAGAGTATTAGGGACCTTTGGGACAAGAGCAATAAGGGTGTTATTAAGATTGTCAGGCAAGCTTGAAGAGGTAAAACACTCTTTCACCAAATCACAAATATCAGAGCTGCATAAAGTTCAATGATCTTGGAAGAATTTAGCTGGAAAACCGTCGGGCCCAGGGTCTTTAATCCCTCCAATAGAAAAAAAGGCTAAGCTTAATATCAACATCAGTTACTTCACTATTGAGAATGTTCAGATCCATAGAATCCAAGTCAGGGAAAAACTGGGGGAGATCAACCATCTCACCAATTCTAGTCTTCGAAGAGAAAAGGTCTTTGAAGTGGGAAGTTACAATAGCTTGCATATCAGAATTCTCTGTGGTCCAATTTCCATCACTGTCATTCAGCCCTTCAATCTTATTTCTTCTCCTTTTAACGATTGTAGAAAGATGAAAGAATTTAGTGTTTTTATCACCTTCCTTGAGCCAAATGTTCCAAAAATTTTGAAGCCAAAAAAGTTCTTGTTCCAGAATCACATTCAGATCACCAAGCAACTTTTTCTCTAACTCCACAAGAAAAGGAACAGTCCTCTTACACAAATATCTTTGAGTGCCATCCAACCTAGCCATGAGTCTTTTCTTTTGTTGAAAAATATTACCAAAAATCTCTTTGTTCCAGTCAGTGAGGGCCTTGGTGAGAGAGATAGTCTTGCACATAGTATTACCATTAGAATTATTCCATATGGCTGAAACAAAATCTTTGAAGCCTTGATGCAACATCCACATAGCTTGGAATCTAAAAATTTTAAACTCCGAATGTGGGTATTGAGCAGAATTAAGAGAGATCAAGAGAGGACAGTGATCTGACCTCACTCTAGGGAGGTGCCTAACAAAGCCTTCAAGAAATTTATGTCTCCAAGTAATATTACAAAGCCCTCTGTCCAACCTTTCCCGGAGAGTTTCACCATGAACATTCTTTTTGCACCAGGTAAACTCTGCTCCAAAAAAACCAAGATCCACTAAATGATGACGACCAATCCAGTCAACAAACCCACTATTGCAATGAGCAGCTTTGCCTCCCTTCTTTTCGGAGTCATCAACAATTTCATTGAAATCCCCAGTAACAAGCCAAGGAAGATTATTAGTAGAAGAAACTCCATCTAAGCAGTTCCAGAGGGATCTTCTTATTCCATGACAAGGGTGAGTGTACACAACAGTAAGAATCCAAGAAGAAGTACCTTGTATAATCATTGCAGTAATTGACTGATTAGAACACGCCACAATATTGAGCTGAATATTGCTACAATTCCATAAAAGCCAAATGCCACCCAAAAACAAATTTGCATCCACAATATGATGATTACAAAAGCCTAGGCTATTAACAACTCGCATAGCTTTATCACCACTTATTCTTGGTTCAAGAACAGCCAACACCTCAACATGATTTAATTGGATAATATTCTTAAGTATTCTGGGGAGGGATTTGTCCCCAGCACCTCTTACATTCCAGACCAATATCATTAAAGGAAATGGCATTGGAGGACCCTGGGATAAAGATCCTAAATTAAAAGGCAGAGGCAAAGCCTATAACTCCAGATTTAACATCTATCATGGCTTTTTAAGCCTAGCAGAATCTACAATAACAGCAGGAGGATGACTATTTACCTCATTACCAATTGAGATACCCATGCCTGGACTTCCACCTGAGTTATTCACAAAACTATTGCCATAGATCATTGAATCAGTATTTTGGTTAATATTAGAGGGGTCATGCCTTTCGATATCAGGCTTACTGACATGGTCACCCTCAATCCCCTTCTCCTTCAAATACTTGTTCAGATTGAAAGAGAGGCCATCCAATGTTTCTTCCTGGATATCCAGATTGCGAACTTGGAATCCATTCGACAAGGAAGTCTTCTTGAGGACACGTGGCTTAAAATCAACCTATCTATTTTTGGAGTATTAGTTGCAGCATCTTTCTCTTTTCCGTTGTTGGAAATATCCCCCAAGGTTTTCCTTGGTCTACCTTTAGCTTTTTGTTTTCCCTTGACTTGCTTTGTAGTCTCACCAATTGTTTTGCCTCAGCACATGCAGGGTCTGGGGAGCATGGTTGTGGGGGTGGCAACAGGAGGTTGCACTTCAAGGACCTCAGGGAGGCCATTTATCTTATTTTGTGAGTGCAAAGGATCAAATCTGGACCAAGATTTTTGTTTGGCAGCATTGATCTTGCCATCAGCATGTGTAAGCTCCTTTTTTTTTCTTTTTTCTTTTTCTAAAAGGTTTAACTAGGTTCCAAGGACCAAATTGACTTGAATCCGCAGTGGTAGCTGCATAAGCATCCTTAGTGCCGGAAGAAGTCTCAATATCAGTATCAACCCCAAAAGGTTCCTTATCAAATGTAGACTCTCCTTCCATAGGCTTTAGGGTACCATCATGGACTCTAATTTCAGATGGACATTGGTTCCTATTATGGCCATAAATACCATAGCCAAAGCAGACCAAATGGAGTCCTTCATATTCTATGGCATACCAATTATTCTCAACTTGCACATTAGCACTTAACGGTTTGGTCAAATCCAATTCAATACAGATTCGAGCATATTTGCCACGGGCTTGAGCAACTGTGTGAGTATCAATGCAATAAGTCACACCAATAAGGTCCCCAATACGTTTAATTGCCTCAGGATTAAACCATTCAACATGTAAACCTGTAATACGCACCCACACAGCCATATGAGTCATAGTTGCTTCATTAGGATCAAAACTTGGTTTCCATCTCTGCATCACTAAAGATTTCCCAGCAATTACACAAGGTCCCCTAGAAAAAACGTACTTCATGTCTTCCTCAAGCACAAAGCGTACAACATAGAAGTTGTTTTCCATGTCAATCAAACTCATTGCACCTTTCAAAAGACTCCATTTTTGTCTTAGACGAGCTAATAAGAAGCTATATGTATGGGTCCTACCCATTAGTTTGATTATAATTGCGTTCCACCAGGGATGGTAGAGTCGTTCCTTCACCTTGGTGCAAAAGCGTATGCAAGGACCACGAGTACCCTCTGAGACTTCAAAATCATCATCCTTTATTGTGAGTTTATCTTCCTCCATACCCACCAGATCCTCCTTATGCACTCCGATCCCACTTGGGGTTCATGAGCTTTTCACGAAAATTCATTATAGGTTTCGGCACTACAGTAGGAAAAGGCTCAACCTCCATTGCTCCCGCATCAGTACCATCAAGTTCAAGGATACAACTTCTCTTAACACCAGCAGATTCAAAAGACCCTCCACTTCCCGAAGGTCAGGAGGCAGAGAAAGTGAAGTCAAATGGTGGCGTCGCCACCGTGAAGCAAATAAACTGCAGATCTTGGAAATAGGTAATTTGGGGATGCAGCGCGTGTAGCGTGTTCAATTTTCCAGCAAAAAAAAACCCACTTCTTTTGGTCCCACTCTTGCTGTCTATTTAAATTATGGGTAACTAAGTACTTTAGTTAGGGCTCTATTGAAGCCCTAATCATGTTTCTTTAAGGATTTCGATATGCCTTTGCTGTAAACTACTTTTGTGATGCTTAATTGATTAATTTTCAGATTATATTTTATTCTTTACATACGTTATGTTATGCTTGATCACCATATGCATGTTGTGTATTGAGTTTGTTACATAGGTAAATTTAGATGATCGAGTCTTGTGCCTATAAGAGAGTAACAAAAGAACTGGTTATAAGTTCTTGAAATTAATCATCATGAATAACTAGAATAGATACCATGTTCTAGGAGTTGTGTGTTTGTTGATTTCCATTGTGTTATGTGTTCTTAAAGTGCAACTTAGTAGATACCATGCTAAACACTTTGAGAATGAAAAGAGTTAGCATAGATACCCATGCCTAACTTGTTGCTTAGGGAAATCAATAATTTAAAGAGTAGATATCATTCCTTTAGGTTGACAAACATGAGCATCTAAAATCTGTTTTTGTAGCATTGTGCATGTCGTTTGCTTAAGGAAGAAGATTAGCAATGAACATCGATTCCCTAACTGGTTTTCTCATTGTTTTAACCTTAATCCAATTATATTTTTAATCAAACGCTGTTTTTAATATTTTTCTTCGAAATTTTCAGTTTTCAAAATCATCTTAAAATCATATTTTTGAACACCTTGTCTACACCGAGTGCCTTTGTGTATTGCATGTTAACTTTGATTAGAAATCTTAGGGGTTTGAAATAAGTTTTTTTTTGGGTTTTCTTTCACTTTTGCATTCTTAGTTTGTGTCATTTAGTTAGTAGTTCTAGGAAATTAATTTTAAACACATATTAATCCAATCCTCGTGGGAATGATCTTGTATTTTCTTTCTGTACTATTTATCTAATCTTGTGCACTTGCAAGTTAAAACGTGCAAATAGTTGCTTAATTTTTAGGTTTCTATTTGTACAACAAAAACCTGCTTTCATTAATTCCCCATAAACTCCTTGTGATAGTCGAAATTGTTGACTTTTTCAAAGCCAGGTAGTCACGTGGGGCTCTTCCTTAAAAACACATTTTTTAAAGGGAAAAGAAGAGCTGCTGATTTGCTTTTTGAGATCAAGTGATGAAATCTTTCAGAAGCTGAGTTTTAATTCCAATTTCTTTTAGAGGTTTGATCTGCTTGGTGATGAATTTACTAATTTTAATTTTGGCAATTTCATCCATTCGTTTATCCTCTGTGCTATTCTATACCTCTGCCAATTTGCACAAAGATGTGGGCCTCTGATGTTTTGGTTTGGGCTGTCCTTTCTATTTTCCAAAGCTTAAGACTGTTTATTTATCATGGGTTTGATAAATTCTGGGCTTTTCTCCATTTTGGGCCGCTCTCCAGTTTCTCTAAATCAAGCCCAAGCTGTGCTTATGTCTATGTGGGTTTCAAAAAATGGGCTGAGCTCTGCACAATGTTGAGGCCCAAACAGCTGGTTGTTATATAAATGTTAATGCTACTTCTAATTTTAGGCATCAGTGATTATAGATGTCTACTGGTTGTTTTAATCTTCTAACTTCAGTTATTTTTGGAAAACTGAAGTTGTTATAAACAATAAGCATCACTTATGTAAGGAAAGTGTAGGCAATTTGCATGTTCTACAACACACTTTACTTGGTTAGTGTCTTAGAATATAAAAAATGCATCATTTCCAAATCATGTTGTGTTGCCATTGCTCATAAAATATATATATATATATATGAACAGTAATTTAAATATATCCATATACTTGTCTATATTTATAAGCAAAATACTTGAATGATCCATACTTTTCACATCCAAATCACAATTTTTCGAGCCCCACACCAAAAATTATCCATACTTTTCTACATATAAGCAAAACAACTAGCTAGAAAGACATGTAAAATGAAGGAGGAATGTTTAGTTCAATCAAAAATCCATTTAAGACATGAGTTGCCAATTCTTCTCGCACCTCATCCAATTCCAATTTCATTTGGGTGTACATGTCCTTCCGTCTAGCTCTATACTAAAAAACAAAAAACATGTAAAATGTAAACAAAAACAAAAGAAATATGAACATATGCTTAAAAAATGTAAGGCACTAAATTTGCATAAGATATGCGGTCACTTCAAATTGACCAATATGAAAATTTACCAAATCATATTAGTGAACAAGAAAATCTAATTTGTCAACCAATCTAATTAGATAACAGGAAGTCATTAAATGGACTTCATGTTTCAACTAGCAATTAAATTATCATATGATGGTATTTGCTCATTCTCTAAACAATGTGGTTATTTGCAAATATATGGTTTTGTACTACACAAAAACCATGTACCATAAGTGCAAATATATATTATTGTCTTATGATACAGAGATTGAAAATTTGGGATGTAAAAATATAATTCATAAGCAAGAATTAATTTTTCTGTTAAGAGTAAGATAAGAGTCAATTGTGAACCATATGTAACCAGACCTCAGCAGATCGAGTGAGTACAAAAAGAAGAAAAACATAATAAGAAGGATTAGGGTCTGCATTTAGATATAATGAGACATAGCAGATGCAAATTTATTGTTTTCAACCCTTTTTCCATTTAAGAAACTCACTACAAGAATATGACTACAGACAATCACATTTCCTTCTACTTTTTTTTAACTTAAAAGAAACAATCATATCTCCTCAAGTTATCAAATCTCTCTTTACAGACCCCACAGTCTTTGTTAAAAGAAGAGGAGATCCAATCAAATCTTTGAAGCTGAAACTTGCCATATAAAATAATCAATTCCTATCTAATTTGTGTTGTTTACAAAGTTATTTGGAATTCTTTAAAGAGAGGAAACTCATAAAATCCAATTCCCTGACCTGTTTTCTTCAAGACTACCTTCTGACCATTTAAGGTACCAGCACGTACCTGCAAAATTAAAAAGCAACTTAAAATATTGCCCAATTGAATATTATAACAATAACCGCTACATAAAACCAAATATATATGTGTTGTTTATCATGCATGATTTCCAAGGGAAACCTTTCACACAAAATCTTCATAAAAGCATTCATTAAACCTCCATATCCAAATACATGAACTTTTCTCACTAGAAAAAAAATGCAAAGTTACAGGAAACAACACAATTAAAAAATTCCCAAAACTAGCATATAAGATCCTTCCTAAGCACTAAAATATAAAGCAGCAAAATGTAAGCATCATCATCATCATCATCATCATCCTCATCATCTAAAATCTTTATTGTACCAATGTAGGCTATGGGAAAATATTCACCAGCAAAGTTCCAAGAACATCAGTCAGTCCGCCTAAGTTAGAAATCAACTACGACAATAAAGATAATAAGTAAATTAATGCTCGATATTAATAACAATGCAGGCTAATGCATGGGACAAGGCAACTCATATATAGCCCAATAAAGTATATGGTAAACACCCTTTTTATAAAAAGTATAGTAATTTGGCTTACACCCTTTAAATTCAATTTGTCATACCTAAAACCCTTCACTTTTTGTTCCTATAAATAATACCCAATTTGTATAAGTAAAAACCCATGACTAGGATCCAACTCAGCAAGTTACCTAATTAAGCATAAAATCTGATTTATTGTACTTTTCAGATTCCAAAAATACCCCCAACTAAGCCATTATTGCATTTTGTATATTAATGTAGGAATCAATATGGAAACAGTTTTTAATTGGATTGTATATAATGACAGATGTTGAATTTGGAAATATCTCCAAATTGTTGTAATAGATGTAGGAATTAATTTTGGAACATTTAAAAAAAAATTAACAATAAATTCAAATTTGGGTAATTGGTTTGTTTAATAAAATGTTTATGTTATTTTCTTTTTATGAATTATACATGACTAATAATCCACTTTATAATTGTTTATGAATAAAACTGTACATACTAATTATGTTGAAAAAATAATGTACCTATTTGTTTTATGAAAAATATAATTTACCTAGTATGAAAAGTGTACATAATTATCTATTCCAATATACCTACATTAATTTTAATGTACTTACAATTAGGATTTAGGTATTATATGTCATCCAATGTACCTACATTAATTTTAAATATGCCCAATGATTTAGGAGATGGTGGAGAAGTAGTCTACTAGAACATTTAGGTTTGGTGGAAGTGTGAAGTTAGTTTGTTATACAAGTAAGACTTTTGAAGTAAAGTACAGAGAATAACCTGAGCAACATCATATATATAGATATGTCATATAAGCTCTCTACAAAATAGGCTAAGCAATGGCCAAAACATCCATCAAACTGAACAAAAAGCTAGCTTTATCATACACGACAACAACAAAAGACAAGTCTAGCTGAACACAAAAGGGGCTAACTAATGGCCTAATACAGATTTAAAAAATCAAGAAAAGGCTACGAATGGCAGCCCTGAAGCTCTCACATACGTTCTCTCCAACAGATAGGGTAGATATGATGGGTATCTCGCCTCAAATGACTTCATTGCAACTGAGTCCTGGTGAAGCTGAACCTCAAGAGGTCCATAGCTTCAAATATCCTTGGAGACCTCGGTAAGAATAGCAGCCCTCCTTTCCTGAAACTGCCTGATCTGCTCATCAATACTTCCAACCTCATGCCTCTTCTTGCGACCAAGCTCGACCTTCTGCCTAATGATGACACTCATCAAACTAACCCACTGCTGATAGGACCCGCCCCGAACTCCACGGAATTCGGGACGTATTATGTGGCACTTAATAAGAGAACGAGACTTTCTGCTGAAATTTCGCCAAAGTTTCCCCTGAAAAATGGACATTTCCAAAATTCTCAACTTTTTAAAAACATATATAATTCTCAACTAGCAGCATGCATAAGATAATATCATGCAGTTAACATCAATGGCCTCCGGCCTTACAATCAACCCTAGTATGGGCAACATCAGAGCATTTCTAACATAATTCAGTTTACAAACGAAAAATAAAGTTCAACAGAAGAGAAACGATTTAAACGTTATCCTACATAAGCTCGGCTCGGAGTGCATTACTTGCTATGGCCGTTCAATTTCAAGACAATCTATTGCCTAGGGGGCGTAAAACAGAAAAGTGTGAGTGGACAAAAACAAAGTTTCGTGAGTTGAAAACAACATATAGTAACCCCATCGTTTGGAAAATGATGCAGAAAACATGCACTCAAAACCATCATAGATATTTATATATATATATAGCCACGTCAAAACCATGATGAATCCATATCTCATAAAGATATCCAAATATCCATCCCATACGAAACTATTTCCCCCAAACCACTCTCTCGAAAAGCGTGTCTGTTGGCAAGGCGAGCGAGGAAGTATCCTCACTGATAAACAAGAAGAAATATATAGGTATATGCTTCCGTTGATTGTAACTTTTTTGTTACAACTATGATTTGAGCCTACTACGTGTTTACGGACTCATCTCGACACGATCTACATCATGGTGCCATTCATTTTCCTAAAATCCTTCTGGATTAAAAAGTGACCAAAATAACCCTATCCCTTGGGGCAAAATTGTAATTTCATATTAATTAAATTAATTAAATTTAACGAATACTTAAATTAGGGTCGGGATGTTATAGTTGCTCTAAGGCCTCACCTACCCTTAGTTCCTCTCGAAGGGAAGACTAGCTAGGAATCAATCTCACCACCTCTCCAAAGAGATGCATGATCGTACGTATTATAGGCTGGTCAGAACAAAGTCGGAGTTCATTAATGCCTCAATAGTGTCCTTGACCTTGTCTCTCTTATCCTAGTCCACTAAGGATATGCAATCTCGATCTCTGTATGACTGAAGTAAGGCCTCAGCTGCTGGATCTAGTAGCACCCTGACCATGGTCGAGGAAGTGGCATGATAGGTAGAAGCTTCCGCAGTGGTGGCCGATGCATCCCATTGATTGAGATAAGTAAAGATGTCACTAGGGGCCTACCAATTAGATTCTATGAACACCAAAATTTCCAAAGTATGGAAAAAATAAAAATAAATCAAATGAATTGGCAAATGATACTTACATGGTCCAAAAGTGACTGAATAAGATCGCCTTGATCTGCCGATGGTCAGTGGATGACTTGAAAATTCTGAGAAAGCAAAAGAAATGTGATTGTGTTGTGATGTATGGTATTGAGATTACCATGGTAATACATGGATTGTATGATGCTCTAATAAGTGGATGTGTAATGTGATTATGTGAAAAGATACATATGTTACTTGTTGTGGTTTACTCATACGAGATGTAAAAAGCTTACTGGGTTTGTCAATGATGACCCGGTACACTATTCGACGGTGTACAGGTTAACTCTACACGTGAGGAAAATCAAAGGATAGGAGCAAGAGGCTTCTTGTATAGTTTTGGTAGTTTTTTTGTTTCCGCTATTGTAATAAGCTATGAAGGAGGTAGTTTCAATTTATTATGTTATGTTGTAAAGTAATATACGACTCTGAAGTGTGAGTCTGTATTAACATTGTGAGTTCGGAATGGTTGAGTGCTGAAAGAGAAGTAAAAATGTTGTGGTGCATGCATTTTTGTGCATTCCGAGCTTCACTTCCTGTATTGTTTCAAAGTAATGGATCCTCTGGACTATACCCTTAAGTGGTTAAGTGTGAACTATGATTTTAGAGAGGAATGGATCCTCTGAATGTAGTTGATTTGTTTTAGTTGGGGATGGTCTTCAAAGTTGAGCTTGGGCTAAAGACAGAAAAGGTACATTACATTGGTACCTTTTTGTTATTCTTTCTTCTTTGGTTGATGTAAATGTTTTCTTGTGGGCACAACATTTTTATCCAGATGAAACAGAGCATGTACATAGCTGCCCTCGTTATATTGATTACTAGCTTAGGTTGGACAATCAATTTCAAATGGAGTCTGACATATAAAACGGGAGTCTAGGGGCTTTCTTGTTTTTCTTTTTTTTTCTTTTTTTTCTCTTTTTTGGGTTCTGATAAGGGCTTTCTTGTTTAGGTTTCATGAATTTGTGGGTTTTTTTTTCCCTGGCGATTCCCATTTTTGTTTTTGTTTTTGGATAAATCTGATTGGAAACTGGCTACAGGATCCCATTTCATTTCGTCTATTTTCATAACATATTTTTTAATTGTTTTTTAATGAAAAATATATTGCATTGAATGAACAATAGCGTACTCTTGCGAGCCAGAAACCACATAAAACGAAATCAGTGAGCCAGAAACCAACAACGGAAAATTACAGAAGAGTTTGAAATGCCGCCGCCCGTGACTAAAACATATAATACAATTAATATTTCTCCTTGCAAATGACGTCCAGTTTGAAATCTACACCGGACCAACAAAACACACAATAAATTTAATATTATTTCGCTGCGATATGCACGTTCTTAACCATTATATATTTACAGAAAAATATGTAATGAAATTATTAGAGTATCTCCAATAATAATAGTAAATTAAACTCTTTAAATTAAATGTTGTTATTCTATTTGGCAATTTGGAAAGGGTTATTTGCAAATTTTTGCCTCAATAGGCTCTTCAATTTAATTAATGCAATATTATTAAAAAGAAAGAAAAAATACGAAAAACATGCGAAGAAAGTCTATGTATTTATTATTTGAAAATAAAAAACGCAGGTTTTGTCGAACGGGGTTTCCACAATTGTTGTGGGCTCTCCCCCTTTCCCCTTGCTTGGCTCCGAGGAATTTCCTCCCAATGTAACTCAAAATAAAGAAGTGTAGGTTTTGTTCTTCCACAACAAAATTAAATGTTTTAAAGAGCCAAGGTCAACTTGTCAATCTGTATTCCTCTCAAACCCTAGCAGCTCTCTCCCTTTGTGAGTCCTAAAGGAAAATTCCATAGAGGGGCGAGGAGGAAGAAGCGTCACTGTCCCTCCTCCCCCTCCTCTCTTCTCGTCTTTTCCTTTTAGGTTAGTGAATAAGTCCACTGGGGCATTTTGAATAAAAAGCCTCTTATGGTGGTTTCTTCTAAGCCATGATTATATTAAAGTTCCTCATTACCCCTTTTAGTCTATGTTCTCAATCAAATCTTACTCCCAAAACCCGCTCCCTGACGCCACTCATGTTCTTTAATTTGATTCTACATCATCTTTGATGGAGGTTGCTGCAAATCACCCAATTATTCTTTGGCAAAGTTATTGTTTTCGTTTATTTGTTCGCTTTTATGTGCAGGTAGATCACTGGAAATCATATTTTCTCTAAATCTCTTACGGATGAGGTGGTGGGTATGGCTGCGACAACGCTTCTTCAAGTGGTGGTGGTAGGATTTGTTTACGCTCAAGGGTTGATTTAGAGTTTTGGTTATGTTGGGTTTGTGGGCTTTGTTTGAGCTTATGGCTAATTGTGGTGATGTGAGCTAGTAGTTTAAGTGCAGTTTTTGTCTACGTTAGTTTTGCTTTTGGCATGTTGGTTTGTTGCCCTCTTGGGATTGATATTTTGGATATCTTATTGATGTCTTTCATTGTATCGTTGAAGTTATCTAATGAAGTTTCTATTTGATTATAAAAAAAAAGGGTCAACTTGTCAATCCTGAAGAGAGAGAAAGGGGTTCCACTTGCAGCTTTGGTGACTAAGTTTGACAAGTCTGTTGAGGGAGTTTTGTTGATGTGGATCACCTATTTTAGCATTTCAAAGTTGTTGAAGAGGCTATTAGAAATGCTCTTAATTCACAGCTATTTTTTTTGTTTTTTAAAAAGCTCTTATTTATTATTTGAAAGAAATTGGATGGAGTTCAGAAAATCTACGGTAAAGGGGAGGCTGACTATTTTTATATAGTTTAGTATCCTTAAGAAAAAGTAGTTTGAGAGGTTAGTTCTCAATCAGGAGAAAAATTGTAGTTTCCTTAAAAAAAACAAAAAAAAGGATATTGGTGTGCTTGAACGTTGACCTAGTATTTATTCTGGTTTTTGTCCTCAATTCTTTTGGAAAACAAGTGATCGCATGAAAAACTACTACAAAAGGACCTTGAAACCTATCATTTTTCACATCCATCAGTTTTCTCTCCAAGCTTGTGCCAGCAACAGCTTACCAAGTAGAGAGAAAAATATTCCATAAACATCCCAGTTCTAGTGAAATGGGTTCCCAAACAAAGCCTACGCTTCCTACCATCAACTTCTCCATTGAAGACTTGAAGCCTGGCTCAGCTTCTTGGCTGTCCACTGCCAAACAAGTCCGGTTTGCCCTCGAAGAATACGGCTGTTTCGTGGCACAGTATGAGAAAATTTCTGGGGAACTTTTAAACAGCATCTTCGGCCAGGCCAAAGATTTGTTTGAGGTTCCCAAAGAAAACAAAGTAAAGAACGTTGGTGAGGAACCTTATCGTGGGTATATGGGTCCAAACCCCCTTCTGCCACTCTATGAAAGCTTGTGCATTGATAATGTGACATCCCCACAGGAAACTCAAAAGTTCAAAAATCTCATGTGGCCTGAAGGAAAGACCAACTTCTGGTAAGTTTAATTATATTTATCGATACCTCAACACACGATGTTCACCATCTGTAGCTCGTCCATATTATTTATGGCATCGATAATTTGATTCAGTTTCATAGGACAACAATATAAACATTTTACGTACTCGTTTAATTTCTTTTTTTCTTGTTTATTGTAAGTACTTCAATTTAATTTTTTTGTCTTGGCGCAGCGAAACCACAGATTCATTTGGGCAGTTATTGGCAGATTTGGAACGCACAGTTGAACAACTGATATTCGAAGGTTATGGGATTGGAAAGCAGTACGAGTCAGTTGGTAATTCCAACGGTCACCTTCTTAGATTCATCAAATATACAGTACCAGAGGATAAGGATGCCACCGTAAGGTTTCCGAGCCACACAGACATAAACTTCACCACCATTGTTGTTCAGCATGATATCCCGGGCTTGGAGGTAAAAACCAAGGAAGGCGATTGGATTGATGTTGAGTGCGCACCCTCACAATTCGTATTCATGGCAGGTGATGGATTGCAGGTGGGTCCCATATATCAACCAACAATTTAATACTTAATTTTTAATTTACGAACAAACCTGATCGATGTTGACTTTTTATGAAAAGTCTCTTATATTTATGTGCAAATTGAGGTTATTCTATTCCTTAATTAAACTTGAGGGCGTCCAAAAATACATATATATTTGCCGTGTGTACCTGGTCAATTAAAGCATACGACTTTCACTAATCCGAACTGTTTATTTTATAGATACTCATTCAAAGATCATTTCTACAAAAATCACTTGAATCTAATATCATTTGACCACTCAATTGAATTATTAAAATTTTAGTTTTTTCTTGAAGTTATTGATTTTGTATGACACAATTGGATATCGACACAATTTCCGATTTGTCTAATTTTTTGCAATGATGATCTATAAATGTACACTTAAAAATAGATGATTTGGATCGTTGAAAAAATATTTGCAGGGGACCCTAAAGGGTGTCCTTCAAATATATATATATATATATATATTTAGTCCCGTGTGGTCCAAGAGATTTGTGGTCACTCACCATTGGATGTTAATCCAACAATTCAAAAAATTTCTTAAAATGAGTGCAAGAGTGAGTGAACTATTGAATTTACATCCAACGGTGAGTGACCACAAATCTCTTGGACCTGTAGTCCAAGAGATCAGGTATATATATATATATATATATATTATTCTCTCATCAATATATCCGCATATTATTATTGTGTGAATGTCATTGTAAACGGGGAGGAAATTATGGAGGGCTCATAGAAAATACATGGTGTCCGATAATAATGTCCGGATGTCCGCATATGAGAATTTCTGTATATATATATATATATATATGTGTCAATAAGATCTAGGACAGTGAAAAATGATAGAGACTTAAAGACCAATAATATTATTTATTTTTAAATTGAAGGACATCAATAAATAAATTGCTCTACACGCTTCGTCTGAAATAAGCAAATTGATTTTGTTATATATAACCAAATTTGCAGTAATTTAATGAGAAAGTGCAACTTGGTGTTTGATTAAATTAAGTAGGTGTGGAGCAATGACAGAGTGAAAGCTTGCCATCACCGAGTGAAGCATTGCGGAAACAAAACAAGATACTCAATTGGACTGTTTACTTTCAACAACGGGATTTTCCAAGTGCCAGAAGAATTAGTGGACGAAAGCCACCCACTCCTCTACAACCCATTTGATAGCCGTGCCTTTATTCGAAAATATGCTACTACTCCTGAGCTGAAGAAGGAACCCTCTCCTATCAAGGCCTTCGCCGGTGTCAAAGCTTAATTTGCAGAGTTATGGTTGCTGATGGTTTTTCTTCGCCGGTGTCAAAGCTTAATAAGCCATAATAAATGTGTTCTTGGTTGCTTGGAATCTGTCTTAATTTCCTTGGCTTCCGGGAACTGTTTGTCACGTCGTGCTGTTACTTCTATTGACTGGTATATTTTTATGGGATTGAATGCGATGCTAGTATATTCTAATGTATTGACTACATCTATTTTATATAAATAAATAAATTTTCATTGGTTAGACCGACTACTCAAACCTAATCTTTTAAGGCCTGGAGGGTGGTTTTTATTTTTGGTATTTGTTACTTCCTTATGTTAATAAAATCTTATCGCTTTTAAAACCAAAACAAAGTCAAACTTTCATGTTCTTCACCTTCAAATAGTGCTGCTATTGAGAAAAGAACATGGATTTTAAGGGAATTTATAATGTAGGGATTTCTAAAGTCTCATGAAATTATGAGAACATAAATCATCTAATACATGCATGTCTAATATGAAATCAATGAAGCGGAAGCAAGAATAAAAGGTAGAGATTTGTATAAGTCTCATTTTAGGTCTCAAAGGTCCCAATTTTTCTAGGCTTACGAAAATAACACCCAATGATTCTCTAAGACAACTATTGCAAGAAGGATTAAGAACACATACTCTTGGAGCGAATCTTGAAACCACGAATGATGTTCAAGTAGAGGAATTGGTCCTTTTGCTGTTGGCTCTCCATACTTGTCTGCAAATAGGTACACAAAAGGTGCACCTCCCCAAAGAATCTTCACCAAGAATGAAGGAGAATAAGAGAATAAGGAAGCTGGAAGAGAACATGGGGGCTAGCCTCTTCTCTCCAAGTTGGCCGGCCGAAGGGAGACTAGGGAAGGAGGTTTGATATTTTCCTCTCTTCCTAAATGTCTAACTTGAAACCCTAAGGATTAGTGGCAGATTTCAGGATTCCAAAGTCGACTGGACGAATTTACATTAAAAATGCAACGATATGAATTTTATTAATAAACATAGAAAAATAAACCTAGTGAATAGACATAAGAGTTTTTATAAATAAATAAACCAAAATTTACCCCGTACTTTCATAAATGTCAGTTTTTATAAAAACATATGAAAATAACCAAAAACTCACTTAAATAAACTCAAATGTCCTCAAAATTAAAACAAATAAAAGAAAGAATGAAGCCTAAATTCATGATTAGAATAGAATTTATCAACACCACATTAAACGAGATAAACTACTGCAGAATTATAACAAATGAAAATCAGGAACATCGAAAACAGAGAACAACTAGAACCCGGAAAGTAATCAATAATATATAATTAACAATTGTTTCATCAGAAAAATCATTTGTAATAAATGTTGGTGTGACTTGTGGACTATTGACTTTCTTTCCTTACACACCAAGGATTCCCATTATAATTATATTTGATTTACTTTAATTCCTGAACTCCTGTAAATACAAATATAAATTTATTATTTACTTGGCCACTAAGGCTCCGTTGTATTATAAATATAACCTCCTATAAGGAGAGAAATACACAAAAAATTCCCACAAAAAAATATTATCTCATAATTATCATATTTTAGCATGAAATCAGATCAGCGATCTTGGAATTGCTGACTCTAGTTTCAAACCCCTGCCTCCGCTATAGGGGTTGATTATTTTTTCAACCCTCATGGAGGTAGCACCACCGACTTCTTCTCTCCTTCTCAACCAACCATCGCCGAGTTAAGTGCCCAGGTGGCTCAACTCCTACAGATGCAGACTTCGACCACAAACTTGATCCTGAATTAGGATCCTATTTTGATGACCCAGACCCCGACTATGATGACGACCCCGACCTCGACTACGACGACGATGACCCTAACTCCGATAAGGACCCCAACCCCAATTCTGTTTATGATTCAGACCTAGATCCCTACTTCAACTTCGACTCTTCCCGACTCAGGCTCAGATTCCTAGTAAACTTGTATCCTATGCATCTTCCGCTGCACAAATTATGACTTCCCAACTAACGACCCTAACACATAGACGAAATTGCGCACACTGTGGTGATCCAAGACATACTCGTGAGACTTGTTTTGGTTATATGAAGCATCTTATACTAGATTTATTCTCAGGTTTCAAGGACTTCGATTTCACATGTGATACTTGTATTTTGGCCAAGAGTCACCATGTACCCTATCCATTGAGTATAAACAAGTGTACTACTCCATTTACGTTAATTCACTTTGATGTCTAGGGACCTTCATCTATCACTACTCCTTTTGGCATTCGGTGGTTTGTCACATTCATAGATGATTGTACACATATGACATGACTTTATTTGCTGAAGAATAAAAATGAAGTGTTATCCCATTTTCAGTTATTCTACAAACAGATGAAAACTCAGTTCAATGCTCGAAAACAAATTCTTCTCTCAGACAATGGTGGAAAATTTGTCAATCATGACTTTCAGGCTTACTTCCAACAACATGGATCGAATTATCCGTGAGATGACTTGTCCTCAGACACCACAACAAAATGGTGTTGCTCAACGAAAGAATCGACATCTTCTTGAAACCACCCGAGCACTTCTGATTGGCGCTCATGTTCCTCGCCATCACTGGGATGATGCTATTGTGGCTGCAGTTCACTTGATCAACCATATGCCTTTTGGTGTATTGACCTTTGAAACTCCCTTACAAGTGCTTGCGCAACACGGACTTCTGCCCTTTGTTTTGGTACTCAAACCCCAAATCTTTGAATGTGTGGCCTTCGTTCATCTCGACAAAAGCAACGTAGCAAATTTGATCCTTGCACGCTTCATTGTGTTTTTGTGGGTTATGCCACTCATCAGAAAGTCTACCGCTGTTATCACCCTCCTACCCGATATATCTATGTCACTTTGGATGTGACCCTTTTGGAATCTGAGATGTTCTTCTATGTCCCATCATCCAATTCTACTTTTTAGGGGGAGATATGAAGTGAAGAGCAAAATTAGAGCAACTTAGAAAATGAAGAAATTCTCCTATGTACAGAAACGATCGATCGTCCCAAGTCTGGAGCACGAGATTGCTCTCTGCCGCAAAGCAATCAATCACCCATTCACAGTAATCAATCGCTTGACCCGCCTGATTCCTGCGAAGATGGTTCTTATCCGAGTCCTACACCTACAGACAATACAGAACAACGAGATGAAGACTACCCTCTAACTCAACAGTATCAACGAACCAAGCTCCTGAGAATATCCTTGAGGTAACTACTCCTACTACACTTGTGAATTTAGAGGATAAATTTATTGGATACCAATTACCTTTTAGGCAGAATCGTGGAAAGCCACCAAATCATTATTCACCTAATATTGGGAAGACATCAAAGTATCCAATTACGAATCATGTATCCACTAAGAAGTTGTCTAAACCACTCAGGCCTTTGTGCATCAGTTGTCTACTATTCATATTCCAACCAAGGTTGTTGAAGCATTTAAAGATCATAAGTGGGTTCAAGCTATAAAGGAAGAGATGAAAGCTCTTGAGAAGAATTAGACTTGGACATTGGAAACTTTACCATGAAGAAAAAAGACTATCGGAGGTAGATGGGTGTTTACCATAAAACACAACGCTAATGGATCTATCGAGCGATAAAAGGAAAGATTTGTGGCGAAAGGGTACAAACAGCCTTATGGTGTAGATTATGAAGAAATCTTTGCACCAGTTGTGAAATTGAACATAGTTAGAGTCTTACTGTCCCTCGCAGCTACTTTGGACTGGCCACTACACCAGTTTGATGTAAAGAATGCTTTCCTACATGGAGAACTCACGGAATAGGTGTATATGGACATTCCTCCTGGATATAATACTTCTTAGACTGGAACAATATGCAAATTACGAAAGGCATTATATGGACTGAACAGTCACCACGTGCATGGTTTGGGTTGTTCACCATGGCAAAGAAGAACAATTATTTCAGACAAAGTAACTCAGATCATACTCTGTTCTTGAAACATCAGAAAAGGAAGGTAACAACTTTAATAATCTATGTTGATAACATGATTATTACTGGGAATGATAAACATGAAATATCATGGCTACAAGACTACTTGGCTATTAAATTTGAGATGAAGAATCTAGGTGGACTCAAATAACAAGGCATATTTCTCTCTCAAAGGAAATATGTCTTGGATTTGTTGACAGACATAGGATTGCTAGCTAGATTACAATCATGTAGACAGTCCTACTATTCAGAATCATCATCTTGGAGAATACCCGGATCAAGTTCCAACTAACAAAGAAAGATACCAAAGGTTAGTGGAAAGATTGATCTACTTATCTCATATTCGGCCAGACATTGCTTATGCGTTGAGCGTTGTCAGTCAATTTATGCATTCTCCGAGTGAAGACCACATACATACAGTTATTTGGATACTTAGATATTTGAAGTCTATACCTGGAAAAAGGACTTATGTTCAGCAGATTGAGCAGGAAGTATAACGGATAGGAAATCCACATCCGGTTATTTCACATTCATGGGAGGTAATTTGGTTACATGAAGAAGCAAGAAACAGAAGGTGATCGCCTTATCCAGTGCAGAAGCCTAATTCAGAGATATGACCAAAGGAATTTGCGAACTTATTTGGTTAAAAAGGTTTGCTTACTGAACTTGGGTATAGACCTATATCTATAATGAATTTCTTTTGTGACAACAAAGTTGCAATAGTTATTGCACAGAATCCAGTTCAACATGATCGCACCAAACATTTTGAGGTAAATAAACACTATATCAAACAGAAGCTCAAAGCTAAAGTGATTTAGTTTCCTTTCATAAAGTTCGAAGATCAATTGAAAAATATTTTGACAAAGGTAATTTTCATTTTTCTCTCTCTCTCAGTCACAATACAGATGGTCTGAATCGGATTTAACTCTTAGATGCAAATTATTTTTTATTTTAAAAGTATTTAAGTCTATTTAAGTGGATTTTTTTACTATTGTTTATACCATATTTGACCAAGCAACTAGAAGCAACTCTAGGCAAAGCAAACAGTCCCACATTGGAATATTACAAGAAGTGAAGGCTCCCCCTCACCTATAAAAGGAGACCACTCTCCCCTTAGAAAGGGATCCCTTGAGCTGGGCTTGATATTTAGTCATGGCTTTCTCCTTTCTTACTTTTATATTTGGGTCCAACCCCATGTACAAATGTAAATACACAATATTATAATAATGAGAATATACTTCTCCGTGGACGTAGCCCATTCATTAAGGGTGAACCACGTATATCTTGTCTTCTGTATGTTTATCGCTTGCTCCAATCCTCACACACTTGGTGAAGGTCCTCACCTTCACCCATCATCCATCACACCTCATCACTAAGTTGGGCTCAAAAGTGCCGAACCATTTTTGAGCGTCAACAACTATATTTGAAAGTTTTATTGTTAGCAAGAACCCTCTGGATCAGTACCAAGCCGGCACCAATTGATCAAGTTGAAGGTCAAAGAAAGACGATAATATTTAATCGTGTATGTAATACAACCGAGAAAGAAGAGACAAAGCTATTTCAAGGTAGTGCCGGTGAGCCGGCAACTCACAATGGATTTATTCAGGAGTTTGAATGTTCTTGTCATGTAGCGGTGCGCACGCTAGACCGCTTCTATTTGGGTTTTTTAGCCTGAAATTTTAGCTGCTTCCATCTTTTTAATTCTTCATTACATTTGGACTGCACTGATAGCTAGAAAGTAAATGTTTTTTTTTCCAACTAAATATAATTTATTATTATTTTTAAACATAAATTATATAAGACTTGTTATTAATATTTTACACTTCAGACCGAATTGCATTACAATTCCAACTAAATAGCTTCTTTACCATTATATTTAGCTCGGTGTCAACCTGTAAAGACTAATCACGATAGTTGGCACTAATAGGAAGAATTATAAATGAGGGTTTTAATAATTCACTAATCATAATAGTACACATTGTCTTGCTAATTAAAACCTAATTGATTGCATGTCGATAAATTTAATTTTTGAAAAAACCAATAAATATAGTTAAGTTAGTTGTGCAAGTCTAGATTAAGTTTGATTTCTGAAAAATGAATCTGCTGAACTTCACAAGTACTGAGGCCGCACCAATTGATCAAGTTCCAAGTCAAGAAAAGACGACGATACTAATTAATCAAAACGCAGGATCATCAAGCATGTGCCTGTATGAATCAGTGACAACCAATACAAAAAAAAACAATATTCAAACTTCAACTCAATGAAATCATACACGGCGTACAGTCTGAAATGTCGACGCAACAAAACTTATAATATAAAAATTGTATTATATAATGGCGTTCCTGACGATTATATATTCTTTTCCATCTTATTTTCTGGAATAAAAATTGTATGAACAACCACGTGGTGGTGACCTGAAATGCTTCACCAGAAGCCCACACAAAAAAGAAAAAAAGAAAAAAGAATGGCAGCATATATGACGAAGCCAAAGAGAAATTTCCCTGTGAGTTGATCGGGTCGACGCTTGTGACCAACACAACATGTAATAAAATAAAATTATTAGTTCACTGCGATGTGCTTGAACATTGACTAACTACTCATATTCTTTTCTGTCCTAATATTTTTTGGAAGACAAGTTGCACGAGGAACCACTATAAGAAGGAGCATGAAGCATATCATTTTTCATATCCACCAGTTTTCTCTCAAAGCTTTTGCTACCAACAGCTTACCAAGTAGAGAGAACAATATTCCGTAAACATCCCAGTTTTAATTAGTGAAATGGGTTCCGTAACAGTGCCTAAGCTCCCTACCATCAATTTCTCCATTGAAGACTTGAAGCCTGGTTCAGCTTCTTGGCAGTCCACCGCCAAACAAGTCCGGTTCGCGCTCGAAGAATACGGCTGTTTCGTGGCACTGTATGAGCAAATTTCCGCGGAACTTTTAAACAACATGTTTGGCCAAGCCAAAGATTTGTTTGAGGTTCCCAAAGAAAACAAAGTCAAGAACGTTGGTGAGGAACCCTATCGTGGGCATATGGGTCCAAACCCTGGCTTGCCACTCTATGAAAGCTTGTGCATTGATAATGTGACATCGCCACAAGAAACCCAAAAGTTCAAAAATCTCATGTGGCCTGAAGGAAAGACCAACTTCTGGTAATTTCATTTATATATAAAAATATTTTACTCCTCTATATTATTTTCAGTGTATTTGAATTCACCATAAGACAATATAAACATTTTTCTGGGGACATAAGTTTACTTAGAAAACATGACTTGTTTAATATCTTACTTTCTTATTTATTGTACGTACTTTAATTTTATTTCTTCTTGTTTTGGCTATGCAGTGAAACCACAGATTCATTTGGGCAGTTGTTAGCAGATTTGGAACACACTGTTGAGCAATTGCTGTTCGAAAGCTATGGGATTGGAAAGCAGTACGAGTCGGTTGGTAGTTCCAACGGTCACCTTCTTAGATTCATCAAATATACAGTACCAGAGGACAACGATACTACCTTAAGGTTTCCGAGCCACACAGACATAAACTTCACCACCATTGTTGTTCAGCATGACATCGCTGGCTTGGAGGTCAAAACCAAGGAAGGAGATTGGATTAATGTTGAGTGTAAACCCTCACAAGTACAGTTGGTATTCATGGCCGGTGATGGATTGCAGGTGGGTCAACCAATAAGTATACTTAATTTTTAATTACGAAGTACTACTTATTAATAGTGAAATTAAAGATTAAGGGCTTGCTTGGGAGTGATTCTAGATAGGCCACAATCACTTCTAAAAAAAAGCACCTTCCACATGCTTCTCCATATAATCACTTTAAGTGATTTTAAGTGATTTTGGGGAGAAGTACCTCCCATGTGCTTATCCATAAAATCACTTAAAACTACTTAAAGTGATTATATGGAGAAGTGATTCTCCATAGAAGTATTTTTTGGGATATCCAGAATCACTCTCAAACGATGCCTAAGTTACCTATTTATTTGTTAATTAAATACCTTATTATTTTAAAGTTAAGGCTAAATAAATAAAGAAGTCTCGCTATACATGTGCATGTTTAGTTTATAAACATATTGCTTTTATTATATATGCAAATTCCAGAAGTCTATAGCGGATCAATTAGATTAGTCATACACTCCCACATCCTTGTATTTAGTTTAAGAATTTTCCTTATCTAGTTGTTTATCGTTTGAAATTTGACTTTTTTGGTCATAAGATCGTACGAGAATCTTCTTTTTAATTTCGTTTGTACTTATAGTGAAAAGTAAAAACCAAATTTCCATTCCTTGACGCATACATATAACATCCTTTTAAACTTGGTGCTTGATTAATTAGGTATGGAGCAATGACAGAGTGAAAGCTTGCCACCACAGAGTGAAGCATTGTGGAAACAAGACAAGATACTCAATTGGGCTCTTTACGTTCAATAATGGGGTTTTCCAAGTGCCAGAAGAATTAGTGGACGAAAGCCACCCACTCCTCTATAACGCATTTGATAGCCGTGCCTTTATTCGAAAATATGCTACAACTCCAGAGCTAAAGAAGGAAGCTTCTCCTATCAAGGCCTTCGCCGGTGTTAAAGCTTAATTGCAGTATGTTATGGTCGAGGCCCGTCCTGAGAATTTGAGAGTCATGTGTGAAACTTAAATTGAGTTAAATTATTATTATTATTTTTAATAATTATGGTTGTTGATTTAATAAAATAGTATATAAGCCATAATAAATGTATTCAGGTTGTTTTCAGGCTTCCCGACTTATGAAGGAGTGGGTAAGCATATAAAATGGGAACCACTACCCACCACATGAACGTGATGAAAGATTGGGCATAGTCAATAAAAAAATATAATTATTAAATATAATAGCAATTTAAGTTTAAGGACATAGATAATAATAAATAAATAAAATCATGGAATGGGTGTATAATAAAATATCCCTTAAATATAATAGCATTTTAAGTTTCTGGACATGGATCTAATCTAAAGTCCTTTAAGAACCGTTGGTGTGAAAATATGAAACGTTTAAATAGATGGACCAACTTGAAATACTGCAATAGGTTGTGGGGTTTGTGTAATTAAGTAATACTCTCTCTCTCTCTCTCTCTCTCTCTCTCTCTGTGTTTGTGTTTCTTCTTTGTATATGTCGATCTTGTCTTTGCTCTACTTCTTCTATTTATTTGTTAGTAATTGAAGGCGCCTACTTGTAATTCCACTATTGAAGAAAACGTGATAATCAAGCTCATTATTTTGCAATACCCTTTACTGTAAAATTCAAAGGTTCTATCATTTCATCCCCAGATCCACTGAATTATGATGGCCAATGAATTCCAGCAGATAGTTGGTATTTAAAAGCGATCGGTTTGTGGGATAGGTAGAAATGGTTGTCAATGGGTATTGGTTGAATTCTGAAACAATCAGTTGCAATAGGTTTGTGTGAAATATAAATAAGAAACATGAGATTGTAGGTACGAGAGAAGTGATCGAATCAATTCAAGAAGAGAGGAAGATAACGGCAGCACATTACTTTCACTTACTGAAATAAGAAGCAAACTTATCCTAACTTAAGTAGCGAGTTCACAAGTATATTTGGACGCTTCAGATAATGTCAAATGCGTAAAAATGCGGGATTTTTAAATGCAGAGGCTCGGATTCTATGGTCATTGCGCCCAAAGTTTTTTAGTTATACCAAAAAATGTGTCTAATTAGTACCAAAAGTTAATTATACATAATTAAACATGTGGTTATATTTTTATATAAAAAATTTAATCCTATGCATACATCCAGATGTTACTATCGTGCGGACGCTGTTTATTATGGCATTTGCCCAATAATAATGTGCGGACATCCAAATAAAAGAATAAAGCATCAAAACATACATCTAGAAATCAAGGATGCAACAATTCAAGAATATTAGAAAATTTACAATAAACAAAATTGAATTTTTCTTTTTTAACATTGGGAGAAAAAAAACTTTGAAATTTTGATCTTGGATGTCAAATAGAACTAAAAATAAGAGTCACAACCACTATGATAAGCCCGATCGACTAAAACTTAATCTTTTTGACTAAAAAAAGTAACGTGTAGTTTACAAATGCCAAGTCGACAACATTTCATTAATGAAGTTGAAGGTCAAGAAAGACGATATTATCATATATTATATATGCATGTGCCTGATGGCTCAAAGAAAATATAAAATATAGTCAGAACCTATTTCTCTCATGATAAAGCACAGTCGACGCCTTTGACAGAACGAAAGATATAATACATTAATATTTCTCCTTGCGGATAGCCAGAGAGAGAGAGCCCATTCAAACTTCAAGTGAATTGATTGGAAAATCAATATGAGATCATGTCGTGATGTGATCCATACGAGCAAACATGTGTGATATTATTTTTGCACAAATGATAAATTTTACACTTCTTTTATTTCGTAATTGCATTTAATATATTTTTCTTCAAATAAATATAATTTTTTTTAGACATAAAAGATTTAAAGACTATATATTCTTTACATTCTACTTAGGTCGGTGTCACTTCTTTCTTGTGGAAGTTGTGAGGAAATAATCGTAAAAGTCCACACTAATAGCTAAGTAGAATTGCAATCAGAGTTTTAATTCACAATCAATTAGGAAGAATTTAAGTACGCACTATTTTTGTTAATTAGAACATAATTAACAGTACACCAATAAATTTGAATTTTAGGAAAGCCAATAATTATGATTAAGTCAGTTAATTGAAGAATTGATTATATCAGAGCTTTTCCACTTGTAGGTGTTTCTTATCCCCAACTCCTAAACTAGTAGAGAGAAATCTCTCATATGATCTTGGGAGTTTCACTAAAATACCCAAAATGGAAGCTGAAATTATAAAAAAAACCCAACACCCAAAACACTTTATAAACACACCCAAAACCCATCATTACACACACTCAAAACCCATTTATAAACACACCCAAAAAATATACAATTGTTGATTTTGGGATTAATTTTGGGTGTGTTTCTATGTTTAAATAGTGCTTGGGTTTTTTTATAAATACATGTCTAGAATTGGGTTTATTTATAAATTTGTATATGATCTTCTTATAGCATCGGATGCAGTGGCTTTATGGATCCTTTTATGTTTTTTCAGTTCTTGGTGAGTTGGGTTTTCAAAATGTAACATTATTTTTGCTCATTGTCTTGCAATATATATATTTTTTTTTCTTTTATTGTTTGCAATATTTGGGTTTTGGGTTTTCTAAAAAAAACGTAGTCACGTATGAGATGTAGAATTGGACGTGAAAAAGGGGTAATTATAGAATACTACTACGATAATACGACCATGTGATACATTGTACGCGTGTTATAAAAACCAAGGACACGATCATTTAATTGTAACTTAAATAACCAGAGGATAAAGGATAAAAAAAATTACATTCACAAGATTACCTATTTGCAGGTGGGTCAAATAATAGACACAAGTCAAGAATGCACCACTAGAATAATATTAGAAAAAAGATTGCAGCAGACGGAGGTTGATCCTTTCACTAAGTCATCAGCAGCGTGGTGGTTAAGTGGCTGCAAACATTCGAGTTGGGAGAGGTTCGAACCCCATCATGTGCGGAGCTTAAATTGTTTCATTTTTGACACAGTTCAAGTCGCGATATTATGACCATTTAAATTGAGAAATTGAACGAAAATATCTTACCCGAAATATCCTTGAAATTATCGATGAAAATATCGAAAAAATCATGATATATAATTGGAATTGTGCTAAAATTTCGCAGCCCCAAGAAAACGATAATTTCGCCGATATTTCGGCGAAATTATCGAATTTTTGTACTCTGATAAAAACCAAGGACGCGATTATTTACTTGTAACTTAAATAACCAGAGGATAAAGGATAAAAAAAAATTACATTCACAAGATTACCTATTCGCAGGTGGGTCAAATAATAGATACAAGTCAAGAATGCACCACTAGAATAATATTAGAAAAAAGTTTGCAGCAGACGAGGGTTGATCCTTTCATTAATGAGCTATATTCGAGTTTACAAGTACTGAGGCCGCACCAATATTGATCAAGTTCAGGGTCAAGAAAGACGACGAGTCAAAAATGATGAGTAAAAAATAGTATATTGAGAAACTACTTAAAACGAAATCAGTGAGCCAGAAACAAACAATGGAAAATGACACAAGAGTTCGACATATCATGTCCAGTTTGAAATGTCTGCGCCTGACCAACAGAAACACATAATAAAACTAATATTATTCCTCCGCGATATGTACGTTATATATTTTCTATAAGAAAGTCACATGAAATGATTCAGGCGAAGCCAATATATTGGTGCAAAATATAGTAAAGAACGTTAGTCACAAGAGAGTCATGACATGATATTGGTGTGCTTTGAACGTTGACGTATTTTTCATATTGGTTTTAGTCCTAATTTCTTCTGGAAAAACAAGTGATAGCATGAAGAACTACTATAAAGGAGCACCAAACCTATCATTTTTCACATCCATCAGTTTTCTCTCAAAGCTTGTGCTACCAACAGCTTACCAAGTTCCATAACATCCCAGTTCTAGTGAAATGGGTTCCCTAACAACAGTTAAGCTTCCTACCATCAACTTCTCCATTGAAGACTTGAAGCCTGGCTCAGCTTCTTGGTTGTCCACCGCCAAACAAGTCCGGTTTGCGCTCGAAGAATACGGCTCTTTCGTGGCACAATATGATCAAATTTCTGCGGAACTTTTAAACAACATGTTTGGCCAAGCCAAAGATTTGTTTGAGGTTCCCAAAGAAAACAAAGTGAAGAACGTTGGTGACGAACCCTATCGTGGGCATATGGGTCCAAACCCCCTCCTGCCACTCTATGAAAGCTTGTGCATCGATAATGTCACATCCCCACAAGAAACCCAAAAGTTCAAAAATCTCATGTGGCCTGAGGGAAAGAGCAACTTTTGGTAATTTCAATTATATTTATTGATACCTTAACACACGATGTTCATTATCGATAACTTATTCCTATTATTTATAGTATCAATAATTTAATTCAATTTCACAGTAAGACATAAGTTTACCAAGAGAACATTACTCGATTAATTTCTTAATTTGTTATTTATTGTACATACTTCAATCTTATTTTTTCTTGTTTTGGCGCATGCAGTGAAACCACAGATTCATTTGGGCAGTTATTGGCAAATTTGGAACGCACAGTTGAGCAACTGCTATTCGAAGGCTATGGGATTGGAAAGCAGTACGAGTCGGTTGGTAGTTCGAACGGCCACCTTCTTAGATTCATCAGATATACAGTACCAGAGGACAAGGATGCCAACGTAAGGTTTCCGAGCCACACAGACATAAACTTCACCACCATTGTTGTTCAGCATGATATCGCTGGCTTGGAGATCAAAACAAAGGAAGGTGATTGGATTAATGTTGAGTGTGCACCCTCACAAGCACAGTTCGTATTCATGGCGGGTGATGGACTGCAGGTGGGTCCCTATTAATTTTTTAGTTAAGAATACCCTACTTATTTGTTAATGAATGTTGACATTTATGTGCAAGTTGTGGTTTTTTATTATTTTTTAATTAATTAAACTTAAGAGCATAAAAAAAATACATATATAATTTGCTCTGTGTACCTGGTCAATTAAAGCATACGACATTCATAGAACAATATTTATAATAGAACACAGATATAAATAAATAAACAAGACTCTGTATATACCTGTTCATTCTTAGTTAAACATATAAATCTCTTACATATGTTTACGGGTTCTAGGTGAATGAAAAATGATATTGACCATGCAGACGAGTGATCTTCTTTATTTTTTAAATTGAAGGGTATCGATAAATAAATAAAGAAATTGCTCTACGCATGTGCCTGCTTAGTTAAACATATTGCTTTTTGTTATATAAAACCAAATTTACATTAATTTGATGTGAAAATTCAACTTGGTGTTCGATTAATTAGGTGTGGAGCAATGACAGAGTGAAAGCTTGCCACCACAGAGTAAAGCATTGTGGAAACAAGACAAGATACTCAATTGGGATGTTTACATTCAACAATGGGATTTTCCAAGTGCCGGAAGAACTAGTAGACGAAAGCCACCCACTGCTCTATAACGCATTTGATAGCCGTGCCTTTATTCGAAAATATTCTACAACTCCAGAGCTGAAGAAGGAAGCGTGTCCCATCAAGGCCTATGCCGGTGTCAAAGCTTAATTTATAGAATTATGACTGCTGATGTTCATAATAAGCCATAATAAATGTGTTCTTGGTTGCTTGGAATCTGTCTTAATTTCCTTGGCTTCGGGGAACTGTGGCACGTCGTGCTATAATTTGTATTGGCTATGAAGACATCTTATTTGTAGCCTAATCTTTTAAGGCCTAGTGGGGGGTTTTTTTTTCGGGTACTTGTTACTTCCTCATGTTAATAAAATCTTATTGCTTAATCTTTAAAATAAAAAAAATAAAAAAGATTCAACTTTCATGTTCTTCACCTTCAAATTGTAAGCTGATTGAGCATCAATTTCGTCATTTATTGATATATTTACAAAATGGAGAAAGATAATGGAGAATTATTGTCGCCTTTGTTTATTCAAAGCCGTCATGGTTGAGCCCGTGTTTTCATACCCCAACTACAACGGTGATTCATAGTCGTTGATATTATGTCTACACCACGGTACTCATTCTAAAAGTGTCGTCTAGTCGAATTCTGCAAACTAATGATACGAGAGTTTATGTCGCTGAGCTTTTAAATATCTTGATAAAAAAGGGGGAAGAATTTTATTAAATCAACAAGAATAAAGCGTACAAAAAACACATATTGTAAATGGAGCCATCCCAATAACAATATGACAGACATGAGTAAATTTAGGGTTCATAATATGGTTCGCGACCCATTCACCAAAGTGGGTTGGCCAGATTCATTGAGATCAAAACTCGGCCCTGCCGGACCCAATTGCTTTATGAGTAAGGCCTAGGCTAAGACTTTAAAACTTGGGCCTAATCCATTTGAGCCTGTTATGATACAACCTAGTCCAGTCCGTTAGGGCTGAAATACCTTCTTTCCCTCTACGGCTGAAATACCTTGTACTATATCTCGTGCTACGTACTCCCTTCCTCTTTGCTCTAGTGGGCTGCCTTATCCTCCATCCCAGAAATCCACAACTCCCCCTTGTTCCCGTAGTCCAACGGTTGCCATCGCTCGATAGAGGTGGTGATTGTCTCCTAGTGAGTTTAAGCTTTCGTCCTCGCAAGACCTCGACTGCCTCCAGTTCACAGAAAGGGAGGTCAAGCCGTCCATTCTTTTCCATCCAATCCAGCCTCACATGCACTTGTAGTATGGCCAAGACATCCACACGCAAGACAATAGTCTGAGAGTAGTTCATATTTGAAAACCACCCATCGCTCCCTATCTACATGAAATTGGACCCGTGTCCCCCGCATCAGTAGTTATTGGACATTGAACTTGATTCTCACTCTCGCAAACCTTCCGATGCATTCCTCCCCTCTCGATTTGTCCACCTTCAGCATTTGCCTTATCAAGGCACCAATTTAGGTCACTGTCGCTATCGTCATGTTGAGTGGTGGGAGCCCATGAATCTGAACCCAGAGTACCCCTTGGTAAGTTGTGGATTCAAAAACCGCCTCCCCATCTCTTCCTTGTTTAGAACAGGGTTCCATGTTTAGAACTTTCTAAATATCGTGAAAGTGCACGAATCTCGAGAGGAATCGTTTTTCTCCAATCTCCCGTATGCAGACTCCCTTGTGGCCTCGCCATAATCCAGTAAACATCTCAACGAAAGCATCTCTGTTCACTGACCGGTGTGACAAGACCTCGGCCACCAGGCTGTAGTGGAAGCCTAACAAAGTACCAGAAAGCTTGTTCTCTTCTAGTCGAACCCCTTCAAGTTCTTTCTCAGATAGCATCAGTTTTGACCCAAATTGTTTCACCAGTTCCTCCAATTCCATGGTTCTCTATTCACTCCCCATATATTCTTGCTTCGTTATGTTTGTGCAAATAATCTCACGGGAGAATATTCATTTCTAGATCATTCAACCTTCGATCTTCCTTCTCTCTCTTCCTCAATTCCTGTAAAAAAAGATTGGAGTAAATAGACCACACTACAACATTTTACATTTTGCGCGACGAAGAAAATTTCGTCGCGCAAAATACATTGTAGTCACACAAATTTCAGCACGACTGAAACTTCATCACGCAAAGATCGTGAAGAAAGACTTTACGCAACGAAGTTTTTTCATTGGTCCCGCAAAGCGACTTTGCGCAATGAAAAAATATTTGTCGCGCAAAGTGACTTTGCATGACGAAAAATATTGGTCGTGCCAAAGCGACTTTGCGCGACGAAAAAATATTTGTCACGCAAAGTGACTTTGAGCGATGAAAAATATTGGTCACGCAAAGTTTTGAGCGACGAAAAACATTGGTCGAGCAAAGTTTTGCGTGACGAAAAAATTAAAATAAAAAAAATTCCCGCGTCCCATTTTTGGTACTTGCCCAAATTTTTAGAGTTTTGCGCAACGAGTATTAATGTCGCGCAAATATTTTGGTTTTTGACTTTTTGTTATATTATTTCTTTAATATTAATTTAATTATATTAATTATTTCGAATTTTTACTTTTTAAATTTAATTTAATTGTAAAATTTTTTTCGTTACTTTAATTTAAATTTATATTAATTTGTTCGAATTTTTACTTTTTAAATTTAATTTAATTGTATGATATTTTTTAATTACTTTAATTTAAATTGACATATTCGAAATAAAATTACATATGAAAAATAGTGATCAAATTATCCAATAAATATATATATAATATTCAAAATGTACACATAAATTAACAAAGTACAATAATAAAATCCTAATACAAGCGTATTGTGGTGGTAGTGGTGGAGGATATGTTTTGATAGCTTCCTAATCCTCAACTTTAGCCGTCAAAGTCTCGATGATTCCTTACAAAAAAAAAAAAAGGGATAATCTCCCCTAAAATTGTTATACCACAAATCCAACCCAAACTCCAATCCCTCCCCTTTACTCAACCCCAAACCCCACACAAACTCAAAACTAACTCCAAAAACACATATTAATGAAAAAAATTTAAAATTTGGAGAGAATATACCTTTTGGCAAGATTGAGAGTGAGTGAGAATGAGAGAGAAAAGTGAGTGTGAGAGAATTAGAGAAGATAGTGATAGAGGGATGAGAGAGTGAGTGAGAGTGAGAGATAGTGAAAAGAGAGATGAGAGAGTGAGTGAGAGTGAGAGATAGTGAAGAGAGAGATGATGAGAGATTAAGTGAGAGGAGTGAGTGTGAGAGAAATGGTGGGATTTGGGGAGAGGGAAAGAGAGAGGAGAGGTAAGAGTAGAGAAAACATTGAGAAAATTGTGGAGGAGTTATTTTCATTTTAAAAACTGTATCACTTTGCGCGACGAAAAATATTGGAGTATTGGTCGCGCAAAGTTTTACACGAAGAAACATATTGGACGTCAAGCAAAAAATCCCATTTTTGGTACCCGCCCAAATTTTGAAAATTTTGCGTGACGAAAAATACATACTGGTCGCGCAAAGTAAATAAAAATAAAAAATTCTGCGTCCCATTTTTGGTACCCACCCAAATTTTGAAATTTTTGCGCGACGAAAAATACATATTGTTCGCGCAAAGTCAAAAAAAAATAAAAAACATCCTGCGTCCCATTTTTGGTACCCGCCCAAATTTTGAAATTTTTGCGCAACGAAAAATACATATTGGTCGCGCAAAGTCTAAAAAAATTATATAAAAACATTCCCACGTCCATTTTTTGGTACCTGCCCAAATTTTTGCGCGACGAAAAATATATATTGGTTTCGCAAAGTTTTGAGTGACACAAAATATTGGTAGAGCAAAGTCTAAAATTTTTTTTCTTAAAAAATCCCGCGTCCCATTTTGGTACCTGCCCAAATTTTTAGAGTTTTGCGCGACGAATTGTTAGTCACGCAAACTTTTGAGAGACGAAAAATTGGTTCGTAGCACGATGTTTATAAAAATAATTGCTATGAATAATAAAAAATAAAATTATTTTATTTTACCATTTAAAATATAAATAAGGTTAAAGCTACTTAATAAATGTATATACTATTCAATTTCTTAATTGTTATACGTACAAAATAAATAAATTTAAAGCTACTTAATAAGTAAATAAATATATATATATACACACACCATTCAACGATCCAACCGTCAGACTTGTTTGTATTCAGATCGTATACCCCAAAAATCGCAAAAAACAAACATTCAGAGACCTAATAACGGGACAAAAACTTTCAACGGTTATAAATGAAAAATCATGATTTAACGGTTATTTAACTCCGATTTTGATGATTTTTTTACAGCTACACTCCTTGACCCTATATAAATACAATGAACTAATTCGATCGTCAATTTAAAATATTTACACTAGTGGATACAACAAAATCTTATGTTATATTTAACAAAAGTATAAATAAACTCTTAATTGTTAGTGAATATATTGTTTCGATGGCATACGCATTCAACAAAACTAGTTTCAACGATCCAATCGTCAAACTTATTGGTTTATACTTCGAGATTATATACGCCAAAAATCGAAAAAAAAATAAACATTCAGAGATCAAGTAACGGGAAAAAAAATTTCGATGGTTATAAATGAAAAATCACGATTTAACGGTTATTTTAACTCTGATTTTGATGATTTTTTACAACTACACTCCTTGACCATATATGAATACAATGAACTAATTCGATCGTCAATTTAAAATATTTACACTAGTGGATACTACAAAATTGTATGGGCTTTTTTTCTTCCGGCAGCTACTACGGGCCTGACTGTCGTAAAGGGCAAAATGGAAGAAATTGCCCCTTGAGCCTGAGTTCGAAAATTAAGCCCCAAAATACCTCGAAAAGGCAGTAGAGCCTTAGGAAGTATTTTGGTTATCTTCACCAACCAAAATAATGGCAGCTTACAGGTAATTTTTGCATGCTTACAGATAAACTTTTGAGCTTGACATGAGGGGCTTGTGGCATGGGAGCAAAATTGGCATGAGTTGAGCACCAAAAAGGAAATATGGCTTCCTAGGGAGAAATGGGAGTGTTTAAGGTGAGGAAGAAGAGGTTTTCAAGCATATGTGGCTAGGAAGAGAAAATAGAAGAACTATGTTCTTCTGGCAGCTTGTTAGAAGAAGAAAATGGAGGAAAATGAACAGTGCACGAAATTGCTGGTTTTTGCAAGTATGAGAGGAAGCTTGCTCTCTAGTTGTGGATGATTTTTATTGGGTAGAAGAGGCCCTAATTTATAGCTGCTGGAAGCTGATATTTTACAAGAAAACCTAATGGCTTCTACCCATTTTGGCTAAGCTTTTCCTTCCTTTCTCCCTTCATCTCTTCAATCATCCCTTTTTGGTGAAATACACTCTACCCATTTGCACAAAATCAGGGATTTTTGGGAGCTCAAAGCCCCCTTTCCCGCGGCTGTTTCAGACTTCTATTTTCAGCCATCTTTCTTCCTTCTTTTCTCTCCTCTTCCAAGGCTAGGTCTGATGAGGGAAGGAATGGGTATGCATGCTGGTTCAAATGGTGATCTGCGCTCCAATATCCCTTGGTCATTTGGAAGTTTTTGCTTGAAACTTGTTTCTCCCATGTGCTGGAGCTTTCCAGCAGCTTTCACACATGGATATTTTGGCTTTCAACGTGGCTTTTGTTTTCAGCTAGGTGCTGAAGATTTGCATATATTTTTTTTTGGGTTGCTTGGGCCTTCTATGACAATAAGTTGGTTTATCAAGTACATGGGCTAACTTCATCAAGTATTGGGCTAGTTTGGTTGAAGTGATGGGCTATTTTGGTTGGAGTAATGGGCTATTTTGGTTGGGCTACTTTCTCTTTTGTGCTCACCCACATGTTTGGGCCTAAGAAATGAGCTTGGGTTCCGAGGCTCCCAAGTAACCCGGAACCTCCACTTCTTGGTCCATCAATGGGCCTCATGACAATTTATTACCATCCATACCACAACCCACTCAAGCAAGCCCCGGGTATTTGAGTGGCTTGGGGCCCACTTAAGCTTGTAGTGTGATTAGGTGCGGAATGATAATTCCTTGCTTAGCGTGGCGTGTCGTTTGGCGTGGCACGTGTGCAAGCGCATATGATGAACTTTCGCATGCCCAAATTGGGTTTCTTCTTGGTAAAGCATCGCATTGGGCCGATAATTTATTTGGGCCGAACCATGAATATTTTGGGCCTCAACATTAGCCCCCTTGATTATTGGGGCCATGAATGTGTATTGAAATGGTCCGAATAATCAATTTTCAGCCCAAAATAAATTACCATGGCATGGCAGGGCATGGGTTTAGGAGCAACTCAAGGATAACAGTTTAAGAGTCTCTGAAATTACAGCCAGGTCTTTTCCGGGAAGTTTGGAGGGGTCACAATGGTCCCGCTTAAAACCCAATCCTTCTTAAACACCGAAGGTGTTTCCTTGAAAAACTTTCCTAGACACTGTAATTTTGGAGGTCACTTACTAGAGTTACCAAGAGTTGACCTTATTTTGTGGCATGTATGCTTGATTTTGGCTTGATACTTGGTATTGGCATGTATGCTTGATTTTGGCTTGCATGCTTGGATGCTTGGTTTTGGCTAAGGTAGCATGGTTTAATATGGCTTTTGGGACATTTAGCATGGTGGATGTCATTTGACAGTAGCCGGACGTGCTAGTGGATAGTGGGGATCCAATCTTAGAGTTGCAGATGCAATAAGCTTGGATTCACCATTGTGTTTGATTTTACAGCACTAGCCTCCGAACACTTTGAATTTAGAGGACAAAACTTCAATGAATGTGATATCGTGCGACATGATGGCTAGATATTGGAAGAATGCTTGAAATAGGGCATGTGCTGGAAGGATGTTTGAAATAGGGCATGTGCTGGAAGGATATTTGAAATATAACAAGTGCTGGAAGGATATTTGGAATAGGGCATGTGCTGGTAGAATGTTTGAAATAGGGCATGTGCTGGAAGGATATTTGGAATATAACAAGTGCTGGAAGGATATTTGGAATAGGATAGGTGCTGGAAACGGTTTTGTTTGGCATGGAATAGGTGCTGGAAAAAATATGACTTGGCTTGGCATGATTAGCTTGGACTTGGATAATCTAATGGTTGAGTTGAATCAAGATATAGCTTGATCTGGCATGAGGGTTCACTCTTCCGGTAGCATGAATATTGGTGTTTTGGAAAAACGATACCCCTTTGTTGCAATGAGGACAATGATAGCATGACTTCTTCTATGTGCTTCCAGCAACTAGAACTGCCAAGTTCTAACATTGCCATTTTTTATGATGACTGTATTGCTTGAAAAGCTTGATATTGTGATATTTGGTTTGGTTTGCTTGAAATGATTGCATCTAAGTGAAATGCTTGAGTTGCATGGTTTGCGTGGATTGATTCACAAATGCTTGTATTGATGGGTGGAAGAAGAGATACGAGTTTGAGAGAGCATAAGAGAGCTGGGCACGTTGTCTCCTTGCTGGCTTGGCCTTCAAATGGGCAAAATTTTGTTGCCCCTTCCCTTTGAATTTTTTATTATTTGCAAGTGTCTACCCTCTTTTCCTTTCATTTGGCATGGCATGCTTTATTTTATGATTTTCTCTCATTCTCTTCTTTCTTCTTCTTCAAGACCCAAACCCGTGGGTATTGTGCATCAGTACATAAGTCATATTTCGGAAGCTCGGATCAGAAAACTTCCTTGATCAAAGTTGTTCATCTGCTCGAGTACTATAGCCAGTAAAATTTGCAGAATTTTTTGAATTTTTCTGATACCTCAAAGCTGGTTTGCAACTTCTGAATTCATCCATGGCTGGTGAGTTTTTGCAGATTTTTCTTCTGCATGTGTCTTTAACTTATGATACTTGTATGATTGCACTTGCTTCACAAAATTTGCTTGAAATTATGTTGTCTATAACATATCCAAAATTGAGGATCATCCACCCATTCTAGTGCTCTCTACCTCCATTTTTCTAAAGCATGTTCATGAGTTGATGTTGATGCCTTTGTCGCATGCTTGTCTTGAATGCTTGAGTTCCTCTGTATTTCCCAGAATTTGTGAACTAGAAATCGAATTCTAAGGTTGAGCTTTTGATTTAGGATTCTAGCTTGGTGATAAACAAGAGTTATACAAGCTCACTTGGGTATGCATGCCAAGTGTTTGTCAAAATATCTCAAAGTAGCTTGCTGGCTGTTTTTTGAACTTTTGAAATGTTTCTTTTCGAATCTGAGTTGGAGCTTTTGAGACATAAAAATGGACTTCTCAATGGTTATGTTGGAATTGGTCTTGCATCACTTGAAGAAAAAATGAATTTTCGGTGGAATTTCAAAGTAAGGGTTAAGGTGCTGGAGCTGTACAGTTTCTGCTGTGTGGGCTGTCTTAGAAATCTGTTTGACATGCTTCCCTAGCTCGAAATGGAACGAAATTTTGGGAAAATGAAGCTTGATATGTCTAGTTCTAATCTGGAAAGTCTGGGATTTGTTGGTTGTAAGCTTGATTTATAGTGATTTTCTAAAGGTGGGATATTCTAGCTAGGATGGTTGGAAAGTTTGTGTATAAGTTTTGCTTGGCATGTTGCTTTTGCTTGGGAATTTAGCATGTCTTTTCTGTTGGCATTGAGTGCCGATCTGAGTATTGCTAAAGCATGTTCTTGAGCAATATTGTCGTGAGAGCATGAAGTGGAATGGTATTGTTGTAAGAGCATGAATTCTTCAATTTGCTTTGAGATGCCCGAATTGCTTGAAATGCTTGAATGAAATGAAATTTCTTGGCATGTGAATTGGTATCACACCTTGTGAATTTTGTCAAATGCTTAATAGATGAGTTTGCTTGCACTTTGAGAAAATTATGCTTCCGGCACATCCGTTTGTGTATGAGTACCTTTCCGGCGTCTGATTTTGGCTAACATATTCTCTTGTTTTAAAAGCTCGAAAGCATGATAAAGCATGAGAAGTCTAATTTGATAGCATGAAAGTGAGTCTTGGTCTCTTGCAACTTGTCTTTGGAAAACATTATGCTTTAATAGCAATTCTACTTCCGGCACCCCCTTTCTGTTTACTAGTTCCCTTCCGGCACCTGATCTGACCAACGTACTCCCTTATTTCTTTTTCAGGCTTGATTGAGAGATTCCACAGCATGAGAAATGCCATCTTCTTACTAATTTGCAAGGAATTTGGTAGCATGAAGGTGAGTTTGCACCTTGACTTGTGATATGAAGGCTTTTGGAAGATTTGAAACTGGCAGAATGTTTGAAATTAGGCATGTACTGGAAGGATGTTTGAAATAGGGTAGGTGATAAAAATTCTTTGCTTATGGAGTAGGTGCTAGAAGAATGTAACTTGGTTTGTTTCAAAAAGGGGAAATAGAAAACTGTTTCTCACCATAATGCAAGATTATCTAGGCTTGTTGTAATCAAAGAGATGATTTATACTGTGTGGCAAAAAAAGGTAGATGGGTTTGCTTGTTTGAATGGCATGGTGTACTTCCTTGAATTTGCTTGGCATGAAGCCCTCAAGTCAGCTTGTTGAGGTCAGCAATTGGTTGCAAAGTTGGGTTATATTCTCTTTGGCTTACTCAGGGTCGAGAGAACAGAGAGGTAGGAGCTTGCTTTGTCTTGTAAATTTTGCAACTTGCTTCAAAGAAGATCTTTGGAAGAAGTAGACTGAAGATGAGAAGGAAGAGGCTAAGCGAGTTGCTGGAAGAGATTCATACAGCTTGTTTTCCTCCAGATAAGTAACAAACAGTTTGCTTTCCTCCAAGAGGAAAACTGAAATTTACAACAGCTTCAGGATTCTTGTCTCTCTCTTTTGCTTGGCATGAAGCCCCCAAGTCATTTGGAGTTTGCATGTGCTATTTGCTATGATGGATTCTCTTAAGCCCCCATAAGCCTTTCGCAAGATGTTTTGTCTGAAAAACTTTAAATTTTGCTGTAGTGCAATTGCATGAATAAAGCTTGTGATTTTTCAGGAGTTGTCGTATAGCCATGAGAAGAAGTTCTTGCAAGTATTAGTTGCCGAAGTATCCATCTTCAGAAAGACCAATTCTTAAGTATGCCTGAAAATAATGATGGTACCAAAGTCTCCCTTCTTTCTTGGTGCATTTGAGGTCGTCCTTTGAGGTGATTGACAAGGTATGCCCTTTCCTTTTTGCAATTTCTTGAATCTATCGAGGGGCTTGTTGGGTTCTTCATGCCCATGGGCTTTGCTCGTTCACTGGAATCTCAGGTCCTTCTTTTTAACTCTGTAGGAATAGATATAGACTGATATCTTGGCCTAGGCTTGTTTTACGCATGCTTGAATAAATTTGGACTTTTCTCCCATGTTGTGGAAATAGAAATTGATAGAGTGCATGCTCTGCAATGCTTGAATCCTTTTGCATTTTGAGGAAGAATTTGCTTGTCATGGGAATTGCTTGAAAATTTCGCTTGCCATGGATAAATTGTATGCTGCTTGGGTATTTGTTTAAGTGTTTCCTTTGGCCTGAGCTTGACTTGCCCTGCTTGGCGTATATTTTGCGTGTGCCGCGTTCTTGACCCGCTTTTTTGTTGTTGAACTATATGCATCACGAGCGCATGCTTGTAATCGTATGATTAATGCATAGGATTAGAGGCTATTGAAAGCTTTGAGAAAAGCACCATTGGTTTCTTTTTTTTTTTTTTTTTTTGCGTGTGCAGGTGCACACGTCTCAGGCATAGGTGGGGCAGGTGCTGGAAACCTTGACGTTTCTGCTGCTGGAACCTTCAAATCCTTCAGCCTTCTAACTTGGATATTTGGGGCTTCTGCTTTAATCTTTTGGTAAGTAACTCCGCCAATTTGAATATTCCAGGAATAAGCATAGACTGGTGCATGGCCTAGGCTTACTCCCCTTGTGAACATATGCTTGATTAATTGTAGACTTTGTTCTCGGTTGCGAGAAGTAGGAATGCATGTCTTGCAATGCTTGATTTTTGTTCTGAAAGAGAATTTGCTTGTCATGCTTATTGAGTCACAGGATGAGAACTTTGTTTGTCACGAACTTGGGTCAAAAATTGCATATTTGTTTGAACTCCTTCTTTTCTTTTAGGTCAAGAGCATCTCACAAGGGGCGGAGGGTACGCTTCCTTACCCTCCCCTTAGGACACCTGATACAGTTGCCGGCACCTCCTCGCAGCTTCCCGTAGCGCTGTCTCCAACTTCTCCTTGCCTGGGCACACCCAACATAGCTGCCGGCACCTCTCCACAGTTTCCAGCAGTGCTGCCTCCAACTTCTCCTTGCCTGGGCACACCCGACATAGCTGCCGGCACCTCTCCGCAGTTTCCAGCAGTGCTGCCTCCAACTTCTCCTTGCCTGGGCACACCCGACATAGCTGCCAGCACCTCTTCACGGCTTCCGGCAGTGCCCCCTCGTGGTGAGATTATTGGTGACATCCATAAGGACGGTGATGCTTCCACCTCTGTAGGGCATTTATCGGAGAAAATCATGCCTTGGCAAGATTGGGAGAATTCCTTCATGGCGTTCAAAGCCTTCTTTGATGGCGGTGTTACACATAGCATGAAATCATCGCATGGTTATGTTTCCTTTGAGACTATAGGATGCATGGATCTTTAGCATGTATAGTTTTATTGTGCTTTGACTGTAGTTTTTTTTTCTTTTGACATTCTAACGACTACGTTGTTATGACTTTGTAATTTGGCATTGAACCACTGAAGCTTGTATTAATTTTTTGAATGCTGAAGGCAGGTTGTAATTCGCATGTCTCATATATATAGCTTGGTTGGCAAAACTCGTCTTTGTGAACTGTTTGAGATTTTCTGACAGGTTGGATATCCTTAAAAAACAAGGTATATGCTGCCAAAATTTTGACAGGAGCGGAATTTCTAAAGTTTCTTTTGCATGGTTTATCTAGCCTCTGGGTTTGAAAAGCAGCTTCTTGCCTTCCTTAAAAAGGGCCAGACTAGCATGTGCATGATTCTTACCAAGGTTTTATAAAACTCCCAGATGTTGTTCCAGCACCTCAAGATTGCGTGCTTCTTTGGAATGGATCGGTTTCTCGTGCCTTATGCTATTTTTGCTTAAGCGTGATGCTTGTTGATGGTTTGGGACCCCATTCAAGTGACTTTGCTTGGCATGGTTACTGCTAAAAGGCTTAGCTTTTAAAAGGAAAGTTTGCTTGTCTATTTTTTTTTCAAAGAACATGTTTTGTAAAACAGAATAAGGTAAAAGTAAGGAAGAATTCTAGAGGCTTTTTCCTCTTCCAAAATACTCCATTCTCATTGCAAATATCGTCTTACACCTCGGCATGTTATAATGGTGGTGCATTTTAAAAAAGTTGTGAAAGCATAGGGTAAAAATACATAAGGAGTTCATTTTTGAAATAAATTTGAAAAGCCAAAAACAAAATGATAGGTGCAAAAGCAATTTAGCAATAATAAGACCTTAAGCCACTTTGCATTGATGAATACTCCAATCAAATCAAGCCCCCCAAATATGAAAGGGCCCAAGGTTGTGCATGACTTGCAATAGCATGAAAGCTTGTGGCTTAGGTTGGTATGTATTTGGCATGTGTTGTACTAGGATGCCATGCTCTGTAGAGATATTTAACAGAGCCACAGTTGCTGCTTTGCTTGCCTGCAGCTCATAACCCAACTAATCAAAGAGTGATTTGCAGCTCCTAACCCATTGTACTTTCTTCAACCTCTGTGAAGTTATGAGAGGTTACAACAGCTGCCTCTTGATAATCTTGATGACCAAATGAAGCCTCCGAGTGGCTTTCTTCCAGCATGTCCAATGTGAATACTTCGCTGCTGGAACCATTCTCCCATCCATTAGCAAGTAGCTATGGGGTGTTATAGCTTGCAGATTTTGAATATTTGCTCCAGTTGGCCTTCTTCATATTTCCACAAGGTTCCCACATAGCCTCCAGTGGCTTTGGGTCATTCTTCCACAAGTGGCACAATACGTCGTCGTTGAGCAAGTCATCAAAGCACGTAATGACAATAGCCATCTACTTTCCCCTTCGTTTTGGCAAGGGGTCCTTGTCAATAGCTTGCCTCTTAGAGTTTTGTCATGTATCTCGGCGTGTAAGATCTTCCTTAGAGTATGGCAAGCAGTGGTGGATGTTGCAGGTGAAGAATGGATGAATATAGGAAAATACGCTTCCAACACCCCTTTTCTTGAAAGCTTGACATCGCTTCAAAAATTCTGATTGCTTGGTAAAATAAACTTCATCTTGACAGCATTTAGGTTCTTCCAGCAGTATCATAGCACTACCTTCGCAATATTTTCCTTTCATTTGCCATGAATTGAGATGTTTTCCTTCTTGAGTAAAGCATAGTGCTTGGATTTCTTGACTAAGGCTCGGGGCTTGATGATGCTTGATTATGGAATTGTGGCAATTGAGACATCCTGATAGCCTTTTGGTTTTGACTCCTAAACTTGGTCATTGGAATGGTCAAGGCTTAGAAAGTGCTTGAGGCGTTGGAACATATCAGTTATGGCGACTTAGGTATTGTTTGTTGCAGCTGTTGTGAACATGTTTTAGGAACCAAAAGCTTGGACTTGGCTATTGAAGCTTGAGCTTTGTATGTGGTCACTGCAGCAAATGTGTTGGGTTACAACAAGTGATGGCGAACTTGGAGATCATAGTAACATAATTGGGATTTCAAGGAGATTTTTGGTCTGGGAATAGTGGTTTTGGTAATAATGGATTTTTAAGCTCATTTGGGGTTTTGGAATCACTGCCGTGGTGATTGCAATGAATTCCTTCCTCAGCCCCCAAGTGCACCATAATCATCAGAAAAGGATTTGATGGGCACAGGCTACAAAAACTCTTGCAACATGGCTTTCTTAGTATTTGTTTGGGTTATTGCATGGCATGATGAACTTGGGATATCCCTTTGTTGCAACGGTGACAGTTTGGCATGATTCGGTGGTAGCATGTGCTTCTGGCAGCGACTCTTCCAGCAGTGGTGTTTGGATTTTGACTGGCTCTGTTCTTCTTCCACCCTTCCAGCGGCTCTTTCAGTGGTGCTTGAACTTCTATGACTGGAAGTATAGAGAGAGATTTGTCTAAGGAATAGATGATAATGGCAGTGTGTTGAGATGTTGGGTAGGAAACATGAGAGCATTTGTTTTCTTGTTTGTTGTTTGGAGGCTTGGGTCCCTTGCACATGACCGATATAATGCTGCATGACCAAAGCATAAAAATAATATAAGCATTGTAGCTTGCAAATGACTAACATAATTGACATAAGCATGCTGGGCAGGTATGATTTTAGTACTGAGCATGCATAGTTGGCATCTACATTGCAATGTGTAACTTGGATTGATTAACACAAAGGTGGATCGATACGAAATGATAAGAAGTAAGATAAGTGAATAGTGCGTGGAATAAGGCCCTGAGAAATTTTGCTGGAGATGCAAAATTGAAAGGTGGTTTAATACATAACAAGAAAATGATGCAAGCTGGTGCACCATATGAATATCAACTAATCAATCAATCTTTTTTTTTGGACTTGAATGCACATGCTTTTGTCTATGCTTGAGATTGTTCAATGAAACATAAATTTTATGGATATCCTAAAACAACAAACAAATATATATACTATATTGAGATCAACAAGGCATGATAATAAAAATCTTATCTTGGTGAAGCCATTCGCAGAGATGAGGCTGAGAGCATTGAGCAAGTGTTCCTTCTCCCTCTCTCACCGTGTTTTCACAACTCTAGAGAGGTGAGGGCTGCTATGAAGGTGATTTACGGCGATGGCCAGACTTGCTGATGATGTATCATGGCGGAGAGGTGAACGGCAGAGCTAGCCTCAACCATTGACGACGGTGGTCAGCGGCTTGCACGTTGGCTGAAGCCCCCAGTCCCCTTACAAGATATTGTTTTGCTTGAGAATGGATATCTAAGACACAAGCAAAGGGAGCATGTGAGTAATCTATATTATGTTTGTTCTACAAAGTAGATAGCCAACGAAAGGAAAAAGAAAAAGAAAGAGGGAATGCTCTTATCTCTTTATTTCCTCCGGTTTATTGCTTCTGGTCTTCTTCTTTGGAGGCATTGGTGCAGATAGTGGCTTAATCCCCAGCAGAGTCGCCAATTTATGTAGGGGCTTTTTTTCTTCCGGCAGCTACTACGGGCCTGACTGTCGTAAAGGGCAAAATGGAAGAAATTGCCCCTTGAGCCTGAGTTCGAAAATTAAGCCCCAAAATACCTCGAAAAGGCAGTAGAGCCTTAGGAAGTATTTTGGTTATCTTCACCAACCAAAATAATGGCAGCTTACAGGTAATTTTTGCATGCTTACAGATAAACTTTTGAGCTTGACATGAGGGGCTTGTGGCATGGGAGCAAAATTGGCATGAGTTGAGCACCAAAAAGGAAATATGGCTTCCTAGGGAGAAATGGGAGTGTTTAAGGTGAGGAAGAAGAGGTTTTCAAGCATATGTGGCTAGGAAGAGAAAATAGAAGAACTATGTTCTTCTGGCAGCTTGTTAGAAGAAGAAAATGGAGGAAAATGAACAGTGCACGAAATTGCTGGTTTTTGCAAGTATGAGAGGAAGCTTGCTCTCTAGTTGTGGATGATTTTTATTGGGTAGAAGAGGCCCTAATTTATAGCTGCTGGAAGCTGATATTTTACAAGAAAACCTAATGGCTTCTACCCATTTTGGCTAAGCTTTTCCTTCCTTTCTCCCTTCATCTCTTCAATCATCCCTTTTTGGTGAAATCCACTCTACCCATTTGCACAAAATCAGGGATTTTTGGGAGCTCAAAGCCCCCTTTCCCGCGGCTGTTTCAGACTTCTATTTTCAGCCATCTTTCTTCCTTCTTTTCTCTCCTCTTCCAAGGCTAGGTCTGATGAGGGAAGGAATGGGTATGCATGCTGGTTCAAATGGTGATCTGCGCTCCAATATCCCTTGGTCATTTGGAAGTTTTTGCTTGAAACTTGTTTCTCCCATGTGCTGGAGCTTTCCAGCAGCTTTCACACATGGATATTTTGGCTTTCAACGTGGCTTTTGTTTTCAGCTAGGTGCTGAAGATTTGCATATATTTTTTTTGGGTTGCTTGGGCCTTCTATGACAATAAGTTGGTTTATCAAGTACATGGGCTAACTTCATCAAGTATTGGGCTAGTTTGGTTGAAGTGATGGGCTATTTTGGTTGGAGTAATGGGCTATTTTGGTTGGGCTACTTTCTCTTTTGTGCTCACCCACATGTTTGGGCCTAAGAAATGAGCTTGGGTTCCGAGGCTCCCAAGTAACCCGGAACCTCCACTTCTTGGTCCATCAATGGGCCTCATGACAATTTATTACCATCCATACCACAACCCACTCAAGCAAGCCCCGGGTATTTGAGTGGCTTGGGGCCCACTTAAGCTTGTAGTGTGATTAGGTGCGGAATGATAATTCCTTGCTTAGCGTGGCGTGTCGTTTGGCGTGGCACGTGTGCAAGCGCATATGATGAACTTTCGCATGCCCAAATTGGGTTTCTTCTTGGTAAAGCATCGCATTGGGCCGATAATTTATTTGGGCCGAACCATGAATATTTTGGGCCTCAACAAAAATCTTATGTTATATTTAACATAAGTATAAATAAACTCTTAATTA